AAGACTACTTAAAAAAGTAGTTCTTATAGCTATAATAGAGATAGTTATTATACTTTCTAGCTAATCTACTAGAAATATATACTATAAACACTAAGCTTATACTTAGATTATAATAGATACTATACTTCTAGCTAGTAAGAGATCTTATCCTAGCTCTAGTTATAAGGATAGCCTTATAAAGCTAAGTATAGACTTCTAGCTAACTAGGTATATTAAAGCTATACTAATTAATAAAGTAGAGTAGGGTTCTAGTAACTTATGCTTACTCCTAGCTTAATAGGGATTATAATCCTATCTAGGATAGGAGCCCTATAATTACTACTAGATTCCTCTATAAGTAGGGGAGGAACTAAGCATCTAGAGATAGCTCTATTATTAGGCTAGAAGCCTAGGTAGTAATACTACTAATAGTAATGTTAGTCTTTTAGCCTTATGGTCTGTTAGAATCCAGCTAGCATTCTTATGGATATCTACTATTAAACCTCTTTATAAGCATTCTCCTTTTATACTAGTTCGCTAGCCTTTCTGGGTAAAGGATCCTTATAATATATCTCTATGGTAAAAACGATATCTACCTTTTGTTGAAGTAGTCCGCCCCAGTAGCAGTTGTCAGAATCCGCGGAACCGTTTGGAGAGCTGTATGCTGTCATGAAATCCAATGAAGGTCACATTCTTCCTAAACGAGTATTCTAAACTAGAGGTCAATCCTACTAGCTAAGCAACATGCAAACCGGAAACGATGGATCGTGCGGTCCATTCAGCAAGAATGAGAGCAAAATGAGAGATATATTTAAATACTACAGTATGAGATAGCTAAAGTCTGGCAAGCTATCCTAAGGAGGGTATCCGAGTTAGTGGGGGGAAGACATCTAAAGATGCCAACTTAGCAGGTTCCTGATTAGGCATAGTGAAGATTGTTTCCGTAATATGAAGTAAACAAATGACTACCGACTGAAGAAAGAGGGAAGGAAAGAGAGGGCATTTATGGAGGTAGGTACAGCGAAACTAATTACATGATAGTACAGAGTATTATTAAGGGCTGAAAACAGGAAATGTCCGACGGGCTAGAAGCCAGCCGATTCAGCCTAAACCATACTAGGTTCGAATTGTACTGTGTAAGAGATTGCTAAGGGGTTTGAATGCTCCGAAATTCGAAATGGCGTACATGTCGCATCATCCAATGACTAAATCTATCTGACTAGCCGTTCTGCCCAATCAGTCGATTTTACTCTGCAAATCCTGCCATTGCTCCTGCTCCAACCGAGCGGCCACCGACGCTGCAACCCCTTCACCCATGGACAGCGCCTTGAATAGGGTCCGCCTGTCCAACGAGATACAATCACCAGCCGCGTAGACTCCGTCCATGCTGGTCATATACGGCGCACGCGCTGAAATGTGGATGGCGCCTGATTCCGCCAATTCAAGGTCCAATTGCCTCGCAAATGGTCCACAAAGTTGCGGGGTCGGACAGTGATAAAGAAATGCTTCTGTTATAGCAGTGCCGTCGAGCAGGTGAATGACTACGCCCAAGGAAGTACTGACGTCCGGCTCAAGGCGTAGAATGTTTTCCCCTTCAATTTCCGTATCTGGCGGTTTCCGGGTCTGGAGGGCTTGCGCCAGCTCGTGATCGCCATTGGTGTAGACATGAACTTGACTGTTGTATTGCCGGATCCGCCAAATGGTGCGCAGGGCCATTGTAAGCTCCGCCAGCTCTCCAACAGCCAGAACCGCTACACTTCTCGGAGAGACGTGACCTGGTGGTTGTTGTGTAGGTGGAGTCGTATGTCTGATCGAATTTTAGCGTTTTGAACAGGATTCATTGGAGAAGTAGGCTTACATGCGCTGCTGTCGCCAACAATTATCATATCCCTCTATATCCGGGAAGACCTCAGCGGCGCCATGGGCGAGGATCAGAAGTCGTCCCCTCCAGGAGTTGCCATCTGGGTCCTCTGCTTGAAAGATCCCATCAGCAAGGCGCTGCACCCTGATGATGCGTCGTCGTTCAATGCAGACATGAGATGCCTGTTGCTGGATTTCCTCCCGGGCAAGATCGAAGAAGCTAGGGTTCTCAAATGGGCCTTCTAGAAGAAAGTTGCTGCTTGGGCGCGGTGACTTATTTAGCTGCTCATCACTTTTGTCCGCTGGAGCACTGCATGCGCTGAACAAGATAGTGCGATGATGCCCTCGACCTAAGTCCCATGCTGCCTTCAAACCAGCTGGGCCTCCACCGATGATTAGAGCATCGGCTGGTGTGTTAAAGCTTTCCATCGCTAGACGAAGCCAAGAGTCTATTCCTGGAGGGCTTCCTTTGCAGCCCTCTAGATGACCTTTATGTGCTGGCAGCTGTTGTCCCAACAAATCATTACTGATTCGGGCTCCGAATTTGCTTGATCTCCGCTCCAAGCTGCCGGAGGGGGGGGGGGGCTTGACACTATATTTTAGCCCTTTGGACAGGGCAAATGTTCAACTTGACGACCAATTTTAGGAGTTTCACTAGTGCTATTGACAGAATGACTATCATGACACTGAAAGACGTCGAGGAGCCCAAGCTTCAAACTACTCTGGAGTCACTCATCGCTCAGGTAGAGGCGGCGCGTGATGCCCTGCTGGCAAATGGGCAAAAGGGATTGCTTCAGACACTCCATCCCGATCAAAAATTGCCGGATTCGGCATTGGAAGCCCTGGCGGGCAAGGCAATCAACCTCCTGCATGAAACCCAGCAGCTGCTTGAGCCAGCACATCTCGTTCTTGCAGATCATTTTCTAGGTATGGTGCAATCAGTTTCTCTCTTATAACTAGCTAATGCTCTCTACATAGGCTACGTGAGCACGAAATGTCTCTGCGCAGCGGTGGAGCTGAAACTCGTTGACATTCTCGCGGAACAAAATGCACAGGGCCTGACTGTAGCCGAGCTGGCACAGGCCAGCGGCGCTCACCCAGACCGACTGGAGCAAATACTTCGCGTCCTGCGCAATAACAACATTTTCGATTTGAATGCAGCCTCGGGTCGATACCGCAACAATCGCGTTTCTGCCCTGCTGCACACGACAGACTGGACGCAGTGGCACAATTGGGTTGACCTCTACGGAAATGAGTTCTATGATATCGCAAGAGGTATCCCACAGTCGATTCGTCAGAACGAGACACGATGGGGCGCGCAGATCAATTTCAATACGGACGACGATATGTTCACCTTTTTCCAAGCGCAGGGATGGTTGCCCCGGCTGCATAGAACATTGGGCGGCAGTGCCATCGCCCAAGCCCCCGGTATTCTGGCCGACTACCCCTGGCACGAAGTCGGTGACCGGGCGATCCTGGACGTCGGCGGCGGTGGAGGCGGCTTCCTGGCGTCTCTCCTTCGCGAAAATCCCGAAATGAAGGGCGGCATTTTCGACCTACCTCGCACCATCGAGCACGCAGTGAGTCTCTTTCATGAGCCTGATGGGCCATACTATGAGCTGCGCGACCGTGTCCCGCACGCGAATCTCATTGGCGGAGATTTTCTGCAGTCCGTGCCGGCGTTCGAGGTGTACACGATGAAATGGGTTCTCCATGACTGGAAGGACCCGGATGTGCTCACCATTCTAAGACGAATCCGGGCAGCCTTGATTCCTGGACCAGTCAGCCGCCTTGTTGTGCTAGAGTCAATCTTGTCAGATGGGCAGATGGGACGTCTATCCCGGTATGGTGATATTAACATGATGATGACCGCTAATGGCCAGGAACGCTCCGAGGCGCAGTGGCGCCAGCTAGCTGCCGAGGCTGGGTGGCAGGTTCACAGCATCCATCCACTACGGAGGGCATGGGTGTGCGCAATTGACCTTCGGCCCATGGAGGGTTGGAAAGCATAGCGATCCGGGGACCGACCATAGTTTTGCTCTAGAATCATACTCATATACATACACTAGTAGAAGACTGCAAATCAACAAGAAACTGTTCATTCCTCGTGCACATATCAAGTTTTTTTCGAATGGCTAATGCAATCTCTTCCTCAGTCTCTAATGGGGCTGTCGTCTGGGGTGACTTTGAGTACGATGGGAGAGTCATTCTGTATATCATCAAAGGTGCCTCACCCATCGGAGTTCTACAAAAGTATATTGCTAAATGCCATTGCAGCGGACGAGACGTCCTACATCAACTACATCAAACCACTCATTTTAGCCGAGGAGCTGCAATTTCCCCACCTGCTCTCTGTTATCGACACGCGCGATGAGTGGTTCTACAGCATCCATCCAGAACGCATGGTCCCGTCTTTGAAAGATCAAGACCCTGTCACAGGCGAGAAAGTCATCGTCTTCGAGAGCACGGCCTGTCTTCAATATCTTGCGGACCGATTCGACGCAGACGGTAGCTGGAGTGGCCGCACGGCCGCCGAGAAGGGCGCTGTCCTGGCCTGGACGGCGTATCAGACTGCAGCCTTGGGGTGAGTAAGATGGCTGGCATGCCTTCGAGAGATGGATCTTCATTTGCTAATTTTCAGGCCCACGGCGAAATACTGGTTATATTTCATGCGAGGCTATCCCACGCGAGCTAACCCAGTTCAACTCCCACGGACTATTGAAAAGTGTGTTCCTTGTCAACCCATGGACATCTTCTTTCTGGTGTTTGCTGACCCTGGCAGATTGCATGCAAACACTTTGAGGCAATGGGATATCCTGGAGAAGAGACTGAAGGAGGCCGACCAGCAGTACATTGCCCTGAAGGACCGGCCAACTCTCGCTGATTTGTCCTACTTTCCTTTCGCAATGCCGTGGATGTTTACTTTCCTAGGCGTGGACATCAAGGATTGGCCACAAATTCAAGCTTGGAGTGAACGTATGTTGAGCCGGCCTGCGGTGGCTCGGGTGTTGGAGCGCGCTCCTACGTTAGGGCATTGATATTGAGCTTCTGCGTCTCAACTAGATGTCATGATAGTATTTTGTTTCGTCTTATATTTTTATATTCTTAGTACAATGATCTATTGCTAAGGTAATATATTCAATCTACAATGATACCGGTGCTCATAATTTGGTCATTGGCACATCGCGCGGCTCACACTTGAGCTGCATGTCGGGCAGTGTAATCCAGGATTCTGAGTCTCGTTTCCACTTGTCTTCGTCTCCATCCAGAATCCCCATTGTGTAATTCTCCACCAGATGAGCCAACAAGGCCCGGATAACCAGATCCGCGACATAGCGGCCCATACACTGGCATGGCCCAAATCCAAAACGCCAGTACTGATACCGCAGCTCCGTCGCCCGATGCTTAAGAAAGCGATCAGGTCGGTAGCTCTGGCTGTCGGTTCCCCAGAATTCGTTGTGGATATTCAGCGCGTATGTATCAACAACTATGTTGGTGCCGGCCGGGATACAGTATCCCTCCACCGTACGGTCCGTCGGCGCGGACTGTGCGACAGTAAACGCTGCCAGGGGTTTGAGACGGGCAGACTCTAAGACACAAGCGGCCAGGAGGGTTGAAGAGGAGAGGAGATATGCTTCGCACGCTGTTGCAGTCTGCGCCTCATCCCGCACTCGGTTTTGAATCTCCGGGTGCGCCGCCAGAAATACCAGATTCCAGGAAATGCCCCCTGTGGTGACATCCAGATTTGCGAAGAGCGCCTCGTCAATGGTCTGGTAGATTTGCTCCAGGGAGACTTTTCCGGACTGAGCGGCTTCGGTCATAGATACAATAGGAAGGCTCCACTTGTTCTGGTTGCAGGCGTGCTGGTAGGCTTGCTGATTGAAGCGCCTGAAGCGCGACTTGAAATCGGTCAGCTCACGGTTTGTTGCACTTGGGACATATCGCGACCATCTCCAGCGGACGAGCCCTCCTTGAATCATGCGCCTGAATAGCTGCTCGCGGATAAGGCACAGCTGTTGTAGCTCCTCGCGCATTGCGATGTCGATCTCGCCATAGAAAATTTCCGCGACGATCCAGAATGGAAGCATTTTGAGGTCTTGTGCAGGGTGTATGCGTCCCTGTTGAAGATCCCCATGAACATGCAAGCTGGAAAAATGCTGCCGGATATGTCTCAGGACCAACTGAACGTAGGCTGGCGCCTTGTCATGTTGAAATGGCACTTCTGCTACTGCGCGCAGATGCCTCCAGGGCTCCTGGCTGATCAGACCGACACATTGACCTAGGAGCTCACTCATCAAATACCCAGAATTGTTGTTCTCGGCCTTTGAATGCTTGTTGGAATCTCGAAAAACGGACTGTACGTGATGCGGTTGGGTAAGAACTCTGCTATTCATAAGCACTAGGCATGGAAGACACGGATCTAGATGTGCCTACACTTCTGGCTTCATTCCAGACCAAATCCGGTAAATTTTTCCATGCTCCTTCTCCCACGCGTCACGATTCTCAATGCCTTGCAGGAACTTGCCGACATCGCCCTGGCCATTGGGCCACTGGTATGGACAGGTGGGCAGAGTGTGAGTGCCATCAATAGAGCGGATGGGATAGCGCCAGCGAAGATATTTCTGCACACCTCTCAGAAAACTGGCTAAATTGGCTAAATCAACAGAAAAAGAATACTTACGTCTATAATGGCTGAAAAGATTGAGTTGGTAACCTTTCGAGGCAGTAAGGTGACCAGAACCAGAACAGGCAATGCCAGGATGATCCATGGCATATTCCCGCTCTGTGTATAGCGATCTATCATTGTTGGCTGTAATTTCTTGACTATTGAAGCTTCAGACTCTGCCACATGATCCGAGACTTCTTCTGGCCGGAGGGGGTATCTCAATAATACTCACCAGTTTCACCCGGCGGCCGAACAGCATCGGAACCGGCAGACATCTGGTTTCGTACATATTGAATATTCTTGTGCTGATACCTATTATGGCTCTTGCTACAGAGAGGCTTCTACATCAATCAAGCCCAGGAGGTTATACAATTCCATGGCTGAGAAACAGGATATTGAGCAGCTGCATCCCAGCCGGAGGCCAGCAGAGATACCCTGGGAAAATCGCCAGCGCAGACTCAGACATGGCCTCCTCCTGACATTGCTTGCATTTGTCGGAACATGCCTCTTTCGACTGACATTTCATGCTCTAGATCCTCTGCAACAGGTGCTTTCTCAAATGCCCTTGACAGGTATGACTCTTTTGACAGACTCAATGAAGCAGGGTTGACAGCGGCTAGATGGACATAATGACTTCCCCATTTGGACCCGAGCCTTCTACCGCAACCACATCTATCAAGATAATTTCACAGATCAAATCCGCCTGTATGGACAGGTGGACTTTCCGCGCCTGCGGCAGGGGCGCCTAGGGGCCCAATTCTGGAGTGTTTATGTGGAATGGTAAGTCATCCAGAATTTCACAGCCCAAGCATACTCACCCATTCATTCAGTCCCCGAGAGCCCTATAACCTCTCCTCTGACAGTGATCACGCCTACCATGAGATCGTCAGAGACACCTTCCAGCAGATTGACCTTGTCCGCCGGCTGACCGAGCATTTCCCGGCCTCACTGGTTCCGGCGTCGTCGGTGGCCGAGATACGCCACAACTTCAACCACCACTCCGGGCGCATCTCTAGTCTTCTCGGTATTGAAGGCCTGCATCAGATCGGCTCCAGTCCTAGCATTCTGCGCGTGTACCACCAGCTCGGGGTCCGTTATGCCTCGCTCACTCACACCTGTCACAACCATTACGCCGACAGCGAGGCACCAGCCGACGCCCAACATCACGGACTCTCCGCTGCCGGCGAGGCGCTGGTTGCCGAGATGAACCGCCTCGGTATGATTGTCGACCTCTCCCACACCAGTCGAGAAACACAGCGCGCCGCACTGGCGCTTTCACGCGCTCCGGTCATGTACTCGCATTCGTCGGCGTATGCGCTCTGCCCTCACTCGCGCAACGTGGATGATGAGACCCTGCGCATACTACAGCAGAATGACGGCATCATCATGATCACTTTCTATCCTGAATACACCAATTGCGAGGATCCTGAGGCGGCAACTCTGGCGGACGTCGCGGATCATATACAGTATGTAGGCAATCTTATTGGGTACCGGCATGTGGGTCTGGGAAGTGACTTTGATGGAATGCCTCGCGGGCCAAAGGGCTTGGAGGATGTGTCTAAATATCCAAATCTTGTCCAAGAATTGCTCGATCGGGGTGTTACTGTTGATGATGTTGTCGCTGTTGTGGGGGGGGAATGTCCTGCGTGTTCTTGAAGCTGTGGAAAAGGTCGCCCACGAGTCGCGTCATCTGTTGCCATTGGAGGATGATGTTAAACCATTTTTTGGGTAAAAGAGATATCAAACTTGATCGGTAGAACGAAGGAGCAGGTCTTGTAACTGCTTCCAAGTATACATCCGTGGCCTCAAGGCCACAAGGACGAATAGATAAATCCCAGAATTTGCTAAGACGCATTCCTGAGGGAGCCCATCTAAAATTGTACTTCAAATCATTTTTCGACTCTCATAAGTCGAATCCAGATTATTCCGTATACCCTTCAACATGTCCGCGGGCAAAGTCCTAGTGAGTACTTTCCCGCAATCTATATATACATATATTTCATCTACAGGTGTATGTACTAGGAAAGACTACACTTATCCTGACGAATCGCTATATGGATTCATAGACGCAATGCTCAAAATTATTATCTGTATGAAACACTCCAGCCTTCAATGAGCCAAAAACAAAAGAGGCAAATGAGAATAGAATAAGCCCTAGAGGTCTGCGAGAGGTATCCCGAATACTTTGTCCGCCTCTAATATTTTTGGTTCCGGCACATCAGCCAAATCCACCAACCTGTCCCTAATGCGCTCGTACGGAACGTCCTGCACCAGTAATGCCAGGGCTAGCGATATCCGTCTTTGTATCAGCCAAATATCCTTTTCAGAGAAGCAATCTCGATCGTATTCCATCCTCAGTAGTAGCTTATCCTCAGATACTGCGCTGAATTCACATAAAAGGCGAAACTTGGCCCCTTGGGGAAAGGTATAGCAGGTCTGAAACCCTGGAACGGAGAGCTCCAGGCCATTTGAATGGCTGCGGCTGTGGAAAGTCACCACCGTCTCGAAGAAGGGATGATCTGGCGGGGCGGATTTGACCTGAAGATGTGACAGAAGCTGGTCCCAGTGTATGGCGTGGCTGACCGAGGCGCGGACGGAGCGCTGGACTGAGTCAAGGTAGGACCCGGGCTCGGTTTGAGGGCTGTAGCGAATACGTACGGGTAAGGGTTCCAGAAAAAGACCAACAACGTCTAGTTCTTCATTGGATTTCCGGTTGATGTAGGGAAGGCCGAGAACAATATCAGTAGAAGGAAGAACAGTGGAGGGATCATCAAGACAGAGGGCTACAGCGGCGAGAGCCAGCTGTTGTGGTGTGATGGAGAACTGATTGAAGAAGCCAAGCATGCCTTGGTACACGGACTGGGAAATCTCACAGAAAGCAGAGGTTCCGTGGTAACCCCGGCGATGGACTGCGTGGCCGAGAAGGTGCATGGTGGGCGGCTGCTCTCCGAGACATTCAGACCAAAAGTTCAGGTCGCAGGGGGTTGGCTTGTCTTGCCAGAGAGTGCTGTTCATGTACGACTGTGAGTTGCACGGAAGAGTGCCGCCGCGGTAGTGGGCAGAGATCTCGCGCAGAAGTATCTGCATAGTCGTTAGGTCGGCGACGATATGGCTCATGGTAAAGATAAGGTGAGACTCTGAGAGAGCGGCGCGAATCGGGGGCAGGTTGGTCAATGCGAAGGGTCGGTTGATCTCGATCCAGGGATCCATGACTCTGATATGCCGGACCCGTGGTGGCAGGTGGCTGTACTGGCGCCTCGCTGTCCTTGATTTCCGAGAGAAGACGTAGCGAGAACGCAGAATGCGGTGCCGGGACAAGACTGCGTTGCAGGCGTCGGCAAGGCGGACACGGTCAACAATGTCGCTGTCGATCTTGGCCATGAAGCTAACATTGAAACTAGACGTGCCCTCCTGGGCTTGATATTTCTGCCACCATTCTTGTTCCATTGGAGAAAGCGTTGATTCCCCCGGTCAGTCAGCGTGAGTCGATTCGCTCTTTCGCCTTTTCGACTGCCTGATGGGAGCACTGTTCCGGCCGGCACCTCGGTCTCCGCACCGGCTATGTTGGCCAACACAGACAAGATGCTCTGGGATGATCCCTTGGTCTTTGATGGGTATCGATTTGAGAAACTGCGCGCCATCGGTGACAACGAGCAGAAGTTTCAATTGTCATCCACTAGGTACGTTGTCTGTATATTTTTCATATTGAAACTTGCCTCTCATTTTCGCCTTCTAGCACGTCGGAGCTGAACTGGGGATACGGCACCCATGCATGTCCGGGCCGTCACTTTGCGAGCAATCAGATCAAAGTGCTTATGGCGGCCTTGCTCTTGCGCTATGACTTTCGATTCGCAAAGGACCAAAACTCAGACACGGAGTACAAGAGGCCATCCAATGTGGTGGAAGGGGTTCGCATCATGCCAAATCCGAATGTTGAGGTCTTGATTCGAAATCGAGTCGAGATGTAGCATCGCTCCCGAGTGTATGCAAGGAACCTAAGCTATGCTATGAACTATGAATAGTAGACGGAATGAGGCTCTAGATTAAAAATGTGCAGAATGCTCTTTGGGACGGAATTGACGATGCAAGACGCATCGGGCCCCGGTGGTTTTATCGGTTCCCGAGACTGTATAATAGTATATATATTATAGTAGCTACTATAAAAAATATATTATGGCAGCTTTATAGCTATAGTCCGTAGTCCACTGTACTTACTACCTACTTCCACTAGTTGGGATTAGTATCTTCTGACAGGATGACTCATTTCTGCTGATCCGAGCTGAGATGCACATCAACTCAATGATATTTTCATAAAATCGCAAGCTCTATAAAAAAAATTGAATACAAAGTTATTATTATGTCGAATCGTCCTGTAGGTCCAGTGGTTTTGCTGCCTCCAGCCAAGAGGCCCTCGCCTGTCACTCTTGAAGGCCGCACCACCACTCTGATCCCATTACGCCCTGATCACGCCGAGCAGCTTTTCCCACTCGTCGGAGTCAATGATGAAGCAAAGGCTGCCTTATGGGACTACATGTCTGACGGTCCGTTCAGCGATGAGTCTTCTTTCCAAGCAGCAATCACGGCAAAATCCACATCCTCGGACCCATTCTACTTTGTTGTGATTGACAATCGGGATACAACCACTAAAGGCCAGGCATTGGGCTACATATCCTTGATGAACATCATCCCTCAGCATCTGAGCATCGAGATTGGAAATGTCCTCTTCTCTCCCGCACTACAGCGTACAACCTGCGCCACTGAGGCAGTCTACCTGCTTCTCAAGTACACGATTGAAGTTCTGGGTTATCGTCGTGTGGAATGGAAGTGCAATGCGCTGAATGCTCCATCGCGGCGGGCGGCGCTGAGACTAGGGTTTACGTTTGAGGGGGTCTTTCGGCAGCATATGGTGATCAAGGGGAGGAGTCGGGATACGGCCTGGTTTTCTCTGCTGCGGGAAGAGTGGGAAGATGCTATCAAGGAGACCATGCAGGCATGGCTGGAGGAGAGTAACTTTGACCAAGATGGCAAGCAGAAGAAGGGACTGGAAGGATTTAGGACGAGGAAGCAGGACAAGGCTTGAGGGCTAAACTATACATCAAGACAAATGGACTCTGTGTCTACATTGAAGAGCAAGTCTATTAGGTTCATCGCTAAACATGCAATACCAGACCACGAGCACCCAGTTAAGATATCCTCTCACTGATCATCCTGGAATTCTCCCACGTCTGCCTCTTACTCCCCGCTAGCGCAAGATCGACCATCTGACTCGCAACCTTGTCAACCGGGATTGAAGGCGTAACTCTGAACGCCACACAAGACAGGTGCATCCCCTTGGTCAAGACCACCCCAGGACGCACGATGAATGTCTCAATTGTATCTGTATTGTCCTCACCATAAGCCACAATCTCATTTTCCACTTGTCCCTAGAATGGATTAGTGATCATCCCTGCACTGCTTATAGAAGACATACTCTGATGCGGCGGTAATCCTGTGCAAAGTAGAGTGGCTTGTTCTGATCGCGTTCGGCCAATCTTCCGCTGCAATACACGAATCGGAATCGCTTCCCTGCAGGTGCTACAGCTTTATCTAGTGCTTTTAGAGCGGCGAGAGTGTAGCCGATGCAGACCTCGCGGAGTATGTCATTGTCCGAACTAAGCGGTTTGCCGAGTGTCCTGTGGCTCTTAGTATTCGGATCATCTAAGTAAGACTAAGGTAATACCATATGCAGGCTTCGGCGCCTCGCAGGTCAGATATCAAATCATCGGAGTAAGAGAGGAAGTCGGTGATGATTTTGACTGTCAACTTGGGGTTATTTGAGACGGTGGCTGGCAGTTCACGACGTGCCAGGACAACCACCGACGTGATTGAGAGGTTCTGGAGACATTGTTTAAGGACTTCGAGGCCGACGAAGCCTGTTGCACCGGTCAATATCACTTTCATCTGGTCGATATCCGTCCAGTTCGATGTTTGGGGTGGATGATCCCAACTGGCAATCTGAATGGCTGCATAGCACTAAAGTGGACTACAAACTACTATATACAGTTCAATATTCCCGCTAAGCTATATTTTTTTTTTCAGATTTATGATTAATCATCATCAATATTAAAAATCGAAGTCATACCCATAACAACTCATAATTACTCACTCTAAGGACAGGGTTTGTCATTAAGCATTGATTGCAGTCTCCACGACGCACTGCCATCCTCAGCATGCCATGAAATCATGTCACAATCCTCTTTACGAATTCCTGCATCCATCCAGCCACATCAGACGCCTCCCTCAGATGAACGACCAGATGGCCTTCGTCCTTGATAACCTCCAGACGAGCATCAGCATTGACGAGTCGCTGCTGGATGCCCTTCGCATCCTGCAACGAATAGTTCATGTCATTCTCGCCGTGGATCATCAACACCGGGATGTGGATCTCTCCCAACCGCCCCAGGACAGAATCCATTCGCATAATTGAGTTGAGCACTGGATCGATATTCTCTGCGCCCGAGTGCCGATCGGTCAAGTGCTTCTTGATTCGCATGGCAGGCGGCCCATTAAGATCGGGGTTTCCGCCCCAGCTGAGGATAGCCGCGTTCATGATCTGCTCGCTCGGCGTGGGTGTCGATATCCACACGTCGCGTAGCTGGTTGAATGAGTCGCGTTGCGCATCCGTCATCTCTTTGGCGCTAGAGGCGAGTAGGATAAGGCCAGAGAATCTGCTCTGATCAAGTAGCGCCATGCGGATGGCGATCGCGCTGCCCATGGAGATCCCGGTGATTATCACCTTACTGAGGTTGAACTCTCTCTATTGAACGTTAGTTCTGATTTCCTCGAGAAGGGACAGGACTACGTACCAGAAGAGCCAGGGCATTTTCGGCTTGGTCCCACAGACTAAACTCGTTGCGGCTGGAGGTAGTCTTGCCATGGCCGGCAAGGTCGATTCGAACGAGGTTAATGTTGGGTAAATTTGGTGCCAGAAGCTGGACCGTCTCATCCCACATTGTTGTGGACATCCATGAAGCGTGAATGAAGATGATCATAGGATGCTCGTTCACGAGGGGGGCCTCAGTCTTCCAAAATAGTCTGTTGCTTGCATATCCAGAAGGCATGATAAATGAGTATGTCACAGACTAAGCTGGTTGATGAAATAGTACTTCGCATCTTGAATGCAAAGTATTTATCTTCAAATTGGTTATGTTATGGTCGCCTGCGGTGTGTTTCCCACCATAATGTTATGCTCGGATAGCGTTACGAAGGACCTCACGAACACGAGAATCCAGCGCGTTTTCCTCTTCTACCAATCTAACGGATATGTAGCTATCTATCTCCATGCTGTGTGAATCGCCCCTAGAGAGAAACAGCCGAGTATGTAAGGAACTGCTGCTAAAATCGGCCTGATTTCATCCACTCTTCCATGGAAACCCCTTTTTGTATTCCTGGATAACCATCACATCGACATTCAAGATCAAATGGCACGGATCAGGCAGTTCACACCAAAGGAGTTCCTCGATCATGCAGGCAGGCCGTATACCGTGATTGGCGGGACACCTTCCTCCTGCTCCAATCCATCCACCGTCATAGAACTGGGAATTCATATCTACACGCTGTCCAACTTGACAGAAGCTGCACAAACAGTCAGTACCGCATTTCTCACAGGGTTTGCAATGTCTCAGTGCGGCAATTTGTCTAATTACTGGCCCCGTGTGGATGTATATTCCAAGCTAGGCAGTATCGACGAATGTATTGAGCACCACCGGGCTGAGAAGGTCTACAGGAAAAAAGCCTTGAAGGAGATGCACCAAGAGATAGCTGCCGTGACTAAGAGTGAGGACGATGCTGAAGAAGCCGTTAGGGCTCTACGAGGTAAGCAGCCGCTGCCACATATTGTGCCGAGTTGGGCGTGTACAGAGCGGTTCTGGAATGAAGTATCCATGGGCTCTTGGTGGCGATATCGGGGCTTCATACTCGTTATACCTGAGGAGTGTCAGTCCTGGAACGATGTTTTGGAGAAGGGATTATGGATGGTGTGTTTCGACCAATGGAGACGCACATGGATGACTGCGGGCCGGAAGAGGATGCATTAATTGACGAAAGGGAAGGGTGGATTGAGGTTGAAAAGGTCACCTATGGGCCTGCGGTTGATATCAAGCGGGTACTAATCTGCAATGAGTGCGAATTGCCCCAAGGCGAGTCGGAAGTACCTCAAGTACAGAATACTCTGTTGAATGAATGGAGCCGGCTTACGGGCGTCTTATGGGACTACACATATCATCCTGTTGTCTGCAACTCTTGTGCGAGATGCGGTCCGCATGAGTGTGAGCTCGACCTGTAAGCGAATAGCCCTGGATTCCAAGAAAGTTCTAAATTTCCAACAGGGATGAGCATTTCTTCGATGAGGATGCACAATGCGTGGCCTGTGGACGGGCCACGGAATATCGACGACGCAGCAAGAGACTCGCACGGCAGCGCCGAGCGCGTGGGCTATAGGACATGTTATTGTCAAAGGTCTGCCTTTTCTTCGGCCTAAATAAGATCTACGCGAAAGCATGATTCCATCTGCCTTTCGGGAACCGGATGTGGAGGAGTCCTGAAGCCCACACGCGAAGCCCGGTCAACGGACCGTCTGATATCTTCCCCTCTGCACTCGTCGTACTTATGCCGGGTAAGACCTTAATTGCCATCGATTATTGACTGGGTATAGTGCATTAACGCGGTCCACAATCGTGCCATCCTCGCCGTGGGAGAAGGGGAGCTGGCGGAGGTAGATCCGTTGGCCATTGTCATCGAAGAGCAAATCTCTTACCTTGCAATCGAAACTGCTCTAGATGGGGTTTTGCAACATCTGGGCGACAGTCCGTGGGCTTATGTCTTTAAGGTCATTCGGGACGGCTTCAACAAAGACAATCCGCGCAGACCATTCTGTCTTTGGAAAGGTGTAGATGGTGAATTTAATGACAAGCTTTGATCCGGCAAAACGGCCCGTGAAGCACTGGCACTGCACACGCATGGTTTGAGGGCGTTTAGATTATGAAGGACACGATCATTGAACTCCACCCTTGATATTCGTCCAATGCCGGCTGGGAAAGAAACAGGTGCTGTGTGTATGCTCATATCCTACTACTGAAGAGCTGTAGCTAAGATGCGAATACCAGGCAGAGCTGTATGCACTGCTAGATGGGATAAGAATCACGGTCAAAAGCCATGAATTCGCCTAAACATACCCCAAATCCATGATGTTCCTGCATAAAATTGGTCCCACAGAGTAGATGACAAACGCCAACCTCGGCAGATAATATCCATCACAGAGGGGTATGTAGTAATGCAGCGTCGCTTCCCTTCAGTCTTGCTGATCACTAACAGGCATTTGCTGGGGCACGTGGACGCTATGCTGTGAATTCTGCAGTTCATTAGTGGTCGTAGAAGAATTCCAGACAGGTTCCTGAATCCTGAATCCTGATAGCTTGTAGCCCGTCGGAGTCCCACCCGTGGAGCTTCACGGCCATCCAATAATGGCACCGCCATTACGCGAATTATGCATGTATCTTCCTGCCGTGTGCAGTCGAGAGCGTGATCATGTCTGTCATCCTGATTGATGGACATCATTCGCAGTTCTCCGTCACATGCGGGATCGACGGTGATCAATAACTGCCTCAAGAGTACTTAAGAGCCTATCGGGATGTCGCCATCTACGAACGATAGGATCAGGTCTATCGACAGCAGGAGTCGCGATGAAGAACAATCTATTCACCACGCTGTCCGTCCTCGCGACGGGCGCTCTGGCAGCGGTGGACTATCCTCCCCTTCCCGAGGACCTGACTACGCCTTTCCAGCAGCGTCTCGCTGTATATGGACCTAATGGTACGGCTTCCATTGCCCAGTGTAAACAAAAGCTAACAGGAACAGCTGTCTCCGTCGGCTGGAACACCTACCAGCAGATGAACCAGGGTTGCGTTCAATATGGTACATCCAGCGATGCCCTAACCTCCAGGGCGTGCTCGTCCGTTTCCACGACGTATGCCAGTTCACGCACCTGGTCCAACGCGGTGGTGCTGTCCGACCTGGCCCCGGCGACGACCTACTACTACAAGATCGTGTCCGGCAACTCGACGGTCAACCACTTCATGAGCCCGCGGCTCGCCGGCGACACCACCCCCTTCACCATGGACGTGGTCATCGACCTGGGCGTCTACGGCAAGGACGGCTATACCCTCGCCTCCAAGAAGATCAAAAGGTCGGACATCCCGCACATCCAGCCCGAGCTCAACCACACCACCATCGGAAGCCTGGCGCGCACCATCGACGACTATGAGCTCGTCATCCACCCCGGCGACTTCGCCTACGCCGACGACTGGTACCTCAAGATTGACAACCTGCTCCACGGCAAGGACTCGTACCAGTCCATCCTGGAGCAGTTCTACGACCAGCTCGCGCCCATCGCCGCCCGCAAGCCCTACATGGCCAGCCCCGGCAACCACGAGGCCGCCTGCACCGAGGTCCCCTTCACATCGGGTCTCTGCCCCGAGGGGCAGCGCAACTTCACCGACTTCATGCACCGCTTCGCCCAGACCATGCCGGCCGCGTACGCCTCGCGCTCCTCCAGCACCGCCGCCCAGTCCCTCGCCGCCAAGGCCAAGGCGCTCTCGAACCCGCCCTTCTGGTACTCCTTCGAATACGGCATGGCGCACGTGGTCATGATCAACACCGAGACCGACTTCCCCAAGGCCCCCGACGGCAAGGACGGCTCCGCCGGTCTCGGCGGCGGGCCCTTCGGCACCTCCACGCAGCAACTCGACTTCCTCGCTGCCGACCTCGCCAGCGTCGACCGCACCGTCACCCCCTGGGTCATCGTCGCGGGCCACCGCCCCTGGTACACGACCGGCACGGGCAGCTGCGGTCCCTGCCAGGACGCCTTCGAGGGCCTGCTGTACCGCTACGGCGTCGACCTGGCCATCTTCGGCCACCAGCACAACTCGCAGCGCTTCCTGCCGGTCGTCAACGGCACGGCGGACGCCAACGGCATGACGGACCCCAAGGCGCCCATGTACATTGTTGCCGGCGGGGCGGGCAACATCGAGGGCTTGACCGCGGTGGGCACGAAGCCGTCGTACACGCAGTTCGCGTACGCGGATGATTACAGCTATGTGACGGTCTCGTTTGAGGATCGCAATCATCTGCGGGTCGACTTTTTGCGGTCGGGTACGGAGGAGCGGCTGGATTCGAGTACGCTGTACAAGAGCCATGCGGCGCAGTTTGTGGTGCAGTAGGTGTATAGATGCAGTAATGGACGGAGAATATGTACATAGTCGGTCGGAGACAAGGGGAATTTAGCAAATAGTTCAGTTTTCAGGCAGAGAAGCGGGCGTATATATAAAGGGATCGAGCCAGCTCGATTGTGTGTGTGTGTGTGTGTGAAGGGCCCTTGCGGGCGGTTGGTCCTCCACCATATGGCCATGATGGGTCATCTGGCCGTCTTGCAGATCAGTTCGAAGTGATTGTAGCAGTTATGACCTTTCGTGAACGGTGCATGTCAGCGACTGGCATGGCATCATTCGAGATCTCGCGTGCGACCGGACGGAGGTATGGGGATTCGGTCGTTCTCGAGGACGGACTACCGGTCGTCGACATTCCAGCGGCGCGCGTCCTCGGCCTCGCGCGCATCTCGTCTCTTATTCCGGTAGAGAAAGTAGCAGCAGACACAGATCGCGATCAGGACGAGTCTAAACAGTCAGTTTCCGTGTAGAAAATTGGGATTCTTCGGTGGAAAAAAAAAAAAAAAGCACGTACATCCCCACGATAATGCCCGGCACGCCTGTCTTGAGAAAATCGCTGACGGGCTTCTCACACTCGGCCGAATTCGCATTACTCGCGTCGCATTCTCGTCGCAGAAGAATGGCCATTATTGTGTCTGCCCGTCGTAGTGACTGTGTGATCAACTTGATCGTCGCGTGGATGATCTGGGAGAGGGAAAGAACCAGGGAAATCAGAGCGGGAAAAGACGCAAGTTACGCAACACAGAATCGAGAAAAAGGGGCAGGCTGGGTTTAAAGCCAATCGCACAGACTGAAACCATGGTCGATCGAGGCGAGACATTTGTATCTGGGGGTGCGAGGACAGATCCAATAGAAGGGCCATAAAAGGAGCCGTTTGCGGTGCTGTCCACATGGGCGGCGCACTAATTTTAGCCCCTGATTTCCCTGCTTGGCAGGAGGCGTTATAAATATGATAATAATACGAGATGATATGATATGATCTGCTCTGATCTGATACATCCAGTGCCATTAATAGCCAGCTCTCTCTCTACATGATGTTTCGGTTGGTTGGTTTGTTATGGCGATCATACCGCAGCACCACCATCGTCGGCCACAACTGCAACATCACTGCCCCAAGCATCAGACAGCCCGCAAACACCTGTGCTCGGAGGAAGTATGCCTGGTCCAAATCCACCAGCGCTCCAGCAATAGGTGTGCCGACCAGCGCCCCGAACGAACTGATTCCCCACATCATCCCCATGCGCGTCCCTAGGTAATTGGGGTCGGGACACAGCGCCGGATGCCCGATGATTGCCGTCGGCGCGGTGACAAGCACACCGCTGAGGAATCCCCAGTAGCACGCCCATACGATGAATCCCGGCGTCGAGGTCGCTGCGATCCAGGTGAACATGGCCAGCGCGGAGCCCGCAACGCCGCTGAACAACACGTAGATGGGCTTGACGCGCCGGCCGAGCAGGTAGGGCACGACGCGACCAAAGGCCGACGCCCCGTTGATGATGGCGACCATGTAGAAGGACAGGCTGCGCGTGGTGTGCAGCTGCGTGCGCGCATATGACGGCACGTAGAATAGCGGGATGTAGTAGGCGATCATGACGCAGGTCAGGGAGACGGAGAATAGCATGAAGGGGAGGTCAGTCAAAGCCTTGAACTCGATCATGCTGCGCGCGCGTGTGCGCTTGCCCGGTTTACGGCACAGGATCAGTCCGATGATGAGTGCGAGGAAGACGTTGATAAAACCGATGCTGCGCACAGTCCAGGGAAAGCCGATGCGCGGCTGCAGCTGGCGGAACATGATGGGGAATACGACGCTGCCGACACTCGAGCCGATGGCCGCGCAGCCGATGGCGATGGGCCGCTTCGTGGTGAAGTTGGAGGAAATGACCACCATTGCCGGAATATAGGCGATGCCGCCGCCAATGCCGACGCAGAAGCCTTGCGCCAGGAGGATCTATGAGAGTTAGACGCTGCGTGCTGGACCATCCTGTGGGAAGCATACCTGGTAGTACTTTGTCGCCAGGCTAGTCATCATGATGCCGAATATCACCAGGCTCATCCCAACTGTAATCAATGGGCGCAAGTATCCCGAATCAACCAGAGGACCTGTCACGACACCCACCATGACAATCAGAGTCGCTTGCACACTTCCGACCCACGAGATAGCCGATGGTGATTGTTCGGTGAGGAGCACAGTCTGGTAGTATTCCTGAAATGCGCCATAAGTCGCCAGCAAACCCCTATCTCGTCAGCTTGATGGAGACACTTGCTAATATTGATAGCAAGTCTCACCATGAGTTTACAAACACACAGAACCCAGCAACCACCGTGAGCCACGCCTGCAACCCGCCATTCGGAATGGGCTTCACGGGTTCCGCTGCCTGGACGGGCTGCTGGGGGACTGTGTCCGGTTCATCCTCGCGCAGGGACGGCGTCTGTGATTTCTCGATTGATCCCATATCTGCCCTCGATCCATATCCGCCTGATCCCAACCTCCAATCCAAAGCCCGGTGATGGGAAGTCTTTCCTTATAAGCTTGATCATCGGAATCGTTCCCCGTCTCCCCGCAGTGGAGACGGCCGTTTTTCCCGTGGGGTTGTTCCCGTGACTAATAGCCGGTGCTCGGCTGTACAGACGGCATTTCATTGATGCTTTATAGAGGGATTACGATATTATCATGTTGTTGTCTCGACTGAATGGCGACGTAGATGGTAGATACTCGGGTGGTGCTGCATCTCCTGTATGAAGTATGCGAAGCATGCGGGTGGAGCAGACGGGGAGTCAGTCCCCTTTGCATATCCCCAGAACCTTCAACAATAACACGCTCGACGGAATTCTCCGCACGCTCAACCGGCATTGGCCTTCGCTTGATCTCAGTATGCAGCTCCATTGCCCGTGTGTAGCCGGCCAGAACCGTCTGTTGGTCACCGCTACAACTCGGCTGTGAAGCTCGACCACTCAGTGGTGGAAGACAGCTTTTCACTACCATCGCATCACCATGCCAGCTCATGTAAAGGTATTCCTGCGACGCTGCATACCCGTCCTCCATTCCTTCCTCACCAAGTGCAGCACCTCCGTCAGAGCAGCACATGTTATATAAACTACTATTCCACAGACCAACGCCAGTCCCAAGAATAGCGCGACAAATACCATCCAGCCCAGCTTATGCGCAATCCACCGCACCCAAAGACCAGTATCGATCACATCCAGAGTACGTTGTTTCCAAAAGTAGAGCACAAGGAACATCCAGCTGGCGACGAGGATCTCATCGATCATCAGGCAGAGATGCAGCACGAGGTACAGACTCATCCGGCCCGAGAAGTACGCTTCCAGCCATTGGGTGAGTGGGTTGCGGACCGCGGAGACTCGGGAATAGTGGTCGTTGCACTCAATGGCCTTGTAGGTCCAAAAGGCAACAATAGCAAGAGACAGAATAGCCAAGGGCCAGTTGTGGCGGAAGTCAATCAAGGCGTCGAGGAGCGAAGTCAAAATCATTGGCTCTGGCGCATCTTGGGCGTTCATCATGGTCGAATTGGGGTCGATTTAGTCAATAGCTTATCGGAGATATATTGAGAATTTTCTTGAAATGGCCAACATCGTATTCATGTCTGATGGCGTTATAAATGTTCAGCCACTCCTCGCTTGAATCCTTGAATCGGCCAGAAACGACAGGCAGCATTTATTCCGCGTTTAGTGCCGGAATTCTCAGATGAGGCATGGAAATTGGAAACAGACGGGGCACGACTCCAACTGCCAAGAGATTTTCGTAAGAGAAAGCCTGGTGATTGGAAACATAAGAGTCATTCCAGTGCATTATTGCTTCTCCTCCTCTTGGAATGATAATGCGAGACTTGAGGTGACCTCGTATTGCGCACGTGACCGTGGCGATGCCTCCGATTCAATCATCATCCTGACTTCGTATCTGGCTGAATGCAAATCAAACAAGGATGGCTATGTCCCAGACTGTCATCTCAGATCAGATCCGTAACATACAGAAATGGCAGAGCGTCATCCGCCTGCCAGTCGAGCGGGCGCAGTCACCTCCATATCATGCTCGACGACCACACAAAAAGTCACGATCCGGGTGTAGCACCTGCAAACGACGCAGAGTCAAAGTAAGGCGCAACCGACTTCCAAGGGTTCTCAGCTAAAGATGTGCGACAGTGCGATGAGACAAAGCCGATTTGTCGCAGATGCGACAAGATTGGCGCTTCCTGTGTCTATAGCCCTGTCCCGGGATCGTCCCCAGAGAACAACGCCCTTGAAAAGGTCAAGGGACCAGATAGAACAGCATTCGCTTTCTCTCTTAATGATCTTGAGAGCAGGATCAACAGCACTCTGGAACTAAATGGAGGAATCTACAGTGTCGACGGAGTGAAAGATCCCAAGAGCGCGCATCCCATCACCCTTGTAGCTTTTGAGCATTTCATCCGTTCGTCGACGAAAACAGTTTGTCATCCATCCATTCGTCATGTCATGGAAAGTGATATGATCCGAACGGCGTTTCAGGTAAAATTATTGCCGGCCTATCCGGGTGAAGTTACAGCTAACGACGACAGAGCCCCCATCTGATGTACACAATCTTAGGCGTCGGCAGTCTCCATCTCAGCCGGATGCGTCCCCAAACCCAAGTATATCGTCTCGCAGAAGCCTACTTCTGGCAACAGGCCATCAAAGCCTACCAGGAAGCTCTATTGGGAAGAGTCACCGCCCAGAACGTTGACGCCCTCATCTCAACCTGCATGTTCATGGGCATCACGTCCATCTGCCCTGACCACTTTCAACCGACTGACTCTTGGGTTCTTTCTGGTAACCCTGGAGCCATGAACTGGCTTTCTCTGCAAAGCGGGCTGCGCTGTATCTTGAAGCTCGCAGGCCCGTATATCCCGTCCAGCATCTGGGCATCGGCTTTCCAGCAAACTCACCGGGAGGAAGTCCAGTTGTATGACGAGGCAATTCTACAAGGGCGGGAAGGTCTCGATCCTGACCTGGCGGATCTGTGCCAAGTCGACGACTCAACCACCGCTTTAACGAATCCGTACTACGAGCCTCTGAGGCTGCTTGCGGCTATATTCACATTGGACAGGAATCCAAAGAATGCGGCTCAATGTGCGACGTTTATGGGTCGACTTGAAAATAAATTTCTGGCGCTCCTGCGAGCAAGGGATGTGCCTGCACTTTTGATCCTGGCCCATTGGATGGGTCTCATGTGCACGCTCGCCGAATGGCAGCCATGGATCGAAGCGAGAATCCGCGGCGAATGCACCGCTATCTGCATATACCTGGAATATAGCACAGACCCGAGGGTGCTCCGGCTGCTTCAGTTTCCTGCGAGCGCCTGTGGATATCCACTGGTATATCCGATCATTTGAGTGCGCCAGCACCTATGTAGTTTTGTGATATGTTTGGCTATTGCTTCGCCACGATGTCCAGAACCTCGGATAATGAATCCACCGTGTAATCCGGCTGAAACGATCCACACTCTTCTCTATCTCCCTGTCCAAACCGGCACCAACAGACTTTGGCCCCAATATTCCGCGCATACTCCAGATCCGCAATTGTATCTCCCACCATGAGCACCTTCGCCGGGTCCAGCGCTACCCCGTCCCCATGTACTCTCTTGAACCGTGGTACCAGCACCTCCGTGTAACTCGTCGGATCCGGCTTTTTCTCCGACCCCGGCGTGCGATCACCGATAATCAGCGTCTCGTGGAAATACCCTGATAGATTCATCCGCTCCAGCGTTGTCCGGATCGCAGGGACCACCTTGTTACTGACAATGGCAATCGGGATGCCCCGCGCCTTCAGCCCCTCCAGCACCTCCTGCAGTCCCGGGAACGGCTTAGTGAATTTCCCCTCGTGTGTAGTGTAAAGCTGGCGGTAGGTTGCCACCCATGTGTCTTCGTCGAAGGTCTCATCTGGGTGCAGGGCGCGAAAGGTCTCTGACAGGCCGACGCCGCTGGCCATCAACCGGCGGGCCTTATCGCGGGGGATCTCGTATGAGGGGAGGAGCGTGGAGAAGGTGAGGGCCGCTGCATGTTCGATGGCGGCGCGGGTGTCGAACATTGTGCCGTCGAAGTCGAAGATGACGAGGTCGGTCATTTTGATGGTGTTTGGGTTTGTTATCTTGTGCAGAAAACGTTGAGAAGGTCTATCACAGTGGTTGATTTGGAGTGATCGGTAGTGAGACTAGGGTGAGTCACAAACAGGTGGACACGGGGGCCGAGGCTATTGGAAACAACTGTGGATACTCGATTTAGACTACCCGGTTTCATTCATATACTTTGCAATATAGTTATTGTTCTAGTCTACTGTTCTTATCGAGAGATCGAAGGTACTCATTTGCTGGGTGTTTTGTCATTGTACGGAGTACTATGCGCCGGGATCTCTTCCCACTATATATCGCAAGCACTTTGTTCACCAATTCACAGTTAGCGTATCGACCCTGGTTAGGACCACTTCGATTTATCAGTATGTCCTGGTGGTTGAAGATGCCCTATGATGTGTCCATGGAAACCATATACATTACAGACAGACCGAGGATGGGTATGGCCCAGCCCCATCACTAAGCGATAGCGTCCACAGAGCCAGCAGTTCTAGGTATCCAATATCCTTGCAGATATTGATTGTAGATGAGGGATGAGGACAACATGATGGCCGCGATATCAGGTAGTTGGTGGACATTTTAATTCCATGATGTCGACAACTACATCCATCACGACCAGACAGGAAGCGATGTCTGGACACACCTTCTCAGCTGAATGGCGAGTATGCAACATATGGTTTCAATAATAAGAATTGATAAGCGTTCGAATATAAAGCAAAACATTGGAAGAGCAATCAATAACCAAGGGTACACAATGTACAATCAAGTAGATATAAGCGAACACGTCGACAAGAACCAAAAGCTTGCAGCTCATGCGGCCACACCTTATGAGGATCAACGAATTGGGACTCTTGTGGCAGTTCCCGCAACAAAAAGCTCTGGATTATGGCCGCCGCGTGGCATACGGCGCTCTCTTGGCTCTGCAAGACGAGTAGGCACTGCTCCTCCGAGTCCTCGGCCGTAATGGACGTAGAGATGACCCTCAAACTCATACCTCACTCGATCTCTGCCCATATAGACAGTGATATGCGGATCGGCCCTGACATATCTCTGGCGGCCTTGGCTCCGAGTACGGGTTGTTCTGTGATCTAGTGCTCTGTCCCTTCGATTAAAAAAAATGGGACACGCATCATATATCCCGAAGAAGGCTTACCTGATCCAGACGACTGTCGAGCCTACAATTCGACAAGCTTCACGACATACGGCCTCGATGCCCGCCTCCCGATCCTCGTCGTCAATTGCTGAACGGAGCCAGAGTATCTTTGTAACCGAGTTGCCTTGTCAGTTGGATATTTCAGACGACAGACTCGCGACTTCCAGGGGGGTCAAGTGCTGTTAAAAAGGGGGGTTGCGCAACCTTACCCAGGGATCATCGATAGTACCGCTTCCTATCTCTCGGTAAATCTCCATGTGAGGGTCTACAGCTCTTGCCATCGTAATTGGGTTGAGAGGTGGTCTTTCTGGTGAATGTGAATCGATGTCGATAATCTATTTAGTCCCTAGGCTCAGGGCCTTCTTTATATGTTTGAGGCATGGGAGTCAGTACTCATGGCTGAGATGATAGCCATCACAGTGCGGCTCAGGAATCCTCGACTCTGGGCTAACCATTGGCCATAGGTTTCTTGATATTTAGTCCGTACTCATTCCTTGTGGGTACATGACAAGCGCGCGCGATGCTAGGGGCTCTATATGGGGATGTCCTTGTATGTTGAACTCCATCTAGCACTATCGTTTGTACAATAAGCACCAATCCAGTCGCTGGTGGCTTGCAGGGTAGCTAGCAATCACACTTGCCAGGGCTTTGGATCACAGCCCGCCGCCTGGTCTAACCTCATTAGCCTTGTTCGAACTTCGCTCAGTCGCTCGTCTTGCGTTTTCTGGTAACATAGTCTGTCTGGACTCTGGAGGCGAGGTAGCCCGGGTATGGCTCCAGTCTAGGTTCCCAGCGAATCAAAGCCCTAACTAACACATCTCAGAGATCCTTGGGCGCTAAGTAGTACTATTGTGGCAGCCGCCGCAGCCCTGGACAACCTGAAAACCACCAAGATTTGAATAGTTTTTGCCTCATTAACGTGCTCGACTTCGAGCCCATGCTATCTATGGCGTCACTACTCTTCTACTTAACGAAGAGTGCACAAGTTCAAGTGAGCCTCAATCTCTCCTTCCGAGTGGGATGGTGTGTCTCTTTGGCCCAGTCTCGTTCCCACGACCGCTTGGTTTGATAATCCTGTTCCGCTGGTGCCCCGCCCCGCCTCTCGATTTGTAAACGCACATCTTCTCATCGAGACCACACAAGACAAGACCATGCTCTGAACCCCGGGACTGTTTACTCCATCAAGAGCAGGTAATTGAGAAAGTACAAGTGCAAGAGTTCCGGCGATTAGGCCCTTCCTCGTCGCGTCCACCTGGCTTCTTTGGACCTCCAGCGCACAGAATGTCTACAAACGCAGACTCGGAGGTTGAGAGCGATCAGTATGACCCCCCATTGAACGAGCTTTACATTGACGAGGCTCCATTTGGACTAGAGAAGACTTGGGATTATGAGCCTGGTGGCCATCATCCCGTTCATCTGGGTGACCAGCTAGGCCGGGACGGACAGTATCGAATCATCCACAAGCTCGGCAGTGGTGGATTCGCTAACGTCTGGCTGGCCCAAACGATACAAGAAGGTGTCCCAAAGTACCATGCGTTGAAGATCCTTATGGCAGATTATTCGAAGGATGATTGCGCTGAACTGCGCGTCAACAAGCTCCAAAATCTCGGGCTGGAAAGCCATATATCCCTGCCTCTGGACCAGTTCCAAATAAGTGGACCAAATGGATCGCACTTGTGCTTTGTCTATCCTGTCGCTGGGCCACGCGTGTCCTGTATCGCACAGGATTTTGAGGATCCGGACAAGACCCTGCGCAAGGTGGCGCATCAAGCGGTCGCAGTTATGGCCACGTTGCATGAACATGGTATCTGTCATGGAGGTATTCCATGCCATTGCAAGCTCTACAATTCGTTGACTGCCATACGCTGACGCCTTCCATCCAGACTTCACGCCTTCAAACATCCTCCTACGAGTGGATGGCTTGGATGGTTTGGCGGAGCATGAAGTCTTCAAAATTCTGGGAGAACCCTTGACAGTCAAGGTGTTCACCGGAGCAGGAGAGACTCCATCCGATCCGACCGCGCCGCAGTATCTTGTTCGTCCAGTGAATTTTCACAAAGTCCCATTGCCTTATATTACGGATCAAGTTCTTCTGATCGACTTCGGTGAATGCTATGAGATTTCGAATCCACCGGAAGAACTCGGCATCCCCGAGAGTTATAGGGCCCCGGAAATCGTGCTGGAGAACAAACCAGGAGTTGGCTGCGATCTCTGGGCGCTCGGCTGCACCTTGTTTGAGATACGAACGGGGCGGAAGCTCTTTTCGTCGTTCGATGAAAATATCGACGATCTCATTCGGAGTATGGTCTTGCTTCTTGGGGTTCTCCCTGAACCTTGGTGGTCAACAACCTGGAAGCATCGCAAACGTTGGTTTGAGGATGAGCCTGACTCTGAAGGTCGGGCCGTTAGATCTAATGGAAAGCCAGACAGGCCACATGTGGCTCGATCAATTGAACGGGCCTTGAGCCTCGGGCTTAGATATAGCGATTTGGGTCCCGGCGATGAGTTTCGGCGAGAGATTTCTAGAGAGGAGATTGAACTGTTGGGCGATTTACTCCGAAAGATCCTACAGTATGAGCCTAGCCGTCGGTTGACAGCAGCTGAGGCCCAAGACCACGAGTGGTTCCGCATGTGAGACAAAGGATTAGACTTTAGACAAGCGAGCTTGCGTGGTTTCTGGATCTTGTGCTTTAATACGTGTAGCGTCGAGTCGATCTCTGACCGGATGCACGAGCGCGATGGCCGCTTCAAGTGAGTTTATGCTTATTCCAGTACCGTGGCCAATATCAAGCGAGCTATTTATCATCATCTCATTGGTCTTACTTAATTGCTTTTGCTTTTTTCTGGCTGATGCTCAAGAATCGTGCGCATGGCGACAGCAGTTTCGCGAACTGACCCCTCATGCTGCCATCATTCCCTGCAATCGTGCAATCGCCACTTTGCCGACCAAACACAACCACGTTGTAGTGATAAAATCCTTCAGGAAACGATCTTCGCGGTATGCGGCCTTGAATTTGAAGAATACAGGCAAGGTTAACCTGTTCGCAATCTTCCCCTGTGAGAGGCGGTAAATCAGGGCTTGCTGGCCGGTAGAATCTGTCTGACTTTTGTATAGCTTCAACAGCTGGTTCTCTCCGATAGCTATCACGACGTTTCTAGGTTTTCATTATGCGAAGCAGAACGCCTCGTCATATCCTTCCAAGATGCCGAGCTCTGGCCCTAATCAATGTGGATAGAGTACACTATCACGTCATTGTGCGAGGTGATGAGCACCGTCGCTGTTACACTTCCAAATGCTTAAATAGACCACGAGCTCTCCTATCTATGGCTCGCAAATCCGCACGCTCTCCGCCGGTTTTTATTCTCTCGATTGACAATGGGCTTCATCACCAACCCCAAGGATGGACAATCCGACGACTCCAGCATCAACAGCAGCGAGCTGCAGTACACGGCGCAGGCCGGTGCTAATTCCTCCCTCCCGACATACCAGGAGGCCAGTGGTGCCCCTATCGAGGTCAACTCGCCGCTGGGATACTCTGTCGGGTGGGTGACCGTCATCTTTCTGAACCTGAGCAAGATGATCGGGACGGGTGTTTTCTCAACCCGTACGTGCTCCGCCCCCGTTTAGCATCATGCGTTGACTTTTTGCAGCCGCGGCTGTCTTCAAAGGGGCCGGCTCCGTGGGCCTCGCCTTGTTCTACTGGGTCATTGGGTTCTTCATGGCAGGAAGCTCGCTGGCCGTGTACCTGGAATTCTCCTCGTACTTCCCCAGTCGCTCCGGGTCGGAGGTGGTGTATCTCGAGCAGTCCTATCCGCGACCCAAGTACTTCTTCCCAACAGTATTTGCGATGCAGTCGGTGCTGTTCTCGTTCAGCAGCAGCAATGCCATTGGTATGACTTTCCCACCGATTCTCGGGGACTTTTGGCTGACTTGTGTAGTGTTGGCACAGTATCTCTTTCGACTTGCCGAGGCCGAATCCACGCCGTGGAAACTGAAGGGAGTTGCCGTTGCGTCCTACACCGTTGCCGTCTTAGGTATATATCCTCGCATATGATACGGTGGACGCGCTGATAAATGATGGTTCAGTGCTGGCATTCAATACAAAGTGGTCTCTACGGGTGTCCAATGCCATTGGCTTTGTCAAATTGGTCACTCTGATCTTGTACGTCTCTCATGATCCACTACTAATGGCAACAAACTTACATGTACAGTATTGCCATCACCGGCTTGGTTGTCCTCGGCGGCAAGACGTCCATCAAAGACCCCAAGGCCAACTTCCGCAATGCGTTCGAAGGCAGCCACCAGGCCTCGGTGTATGGAGCGACAAACGCCCTGGTGAAGGTGGCTTTCTCGTACGCAGGGTTCGAGAATGCATTCAACGTGGTGAACGAAGTCAAGGTACGAGAGTCGTCCCGAATCCGAAGATTGCAGACTGATCCGATAGAACCCCGTCAAAACCCTCCGCTGGAGCGCTCCGATCTCCCTACTGCTTGTGGCCACCCTGTACATTCTCGCCAATATCGCCTACTTCTCCGCTGTCACGAAGGACGAGATCCTCAATTCTAAGGTCGTCGCCGCAAGTATCTTCTTCCAAAAGGTGTTCGGAACGAGCGGTGCATCTCGCGCATTGAACATCCTGATCTGCCTGAGTGCGTTTGGAAATCTGCTTGCGGTGCTCATCGGACAATCGCGACTTCTCAGAGAGTGTGGACGGTATTTTGTCCTTGTATCCGTCTACTTGACCTCCCGTTGACAAAGTGAATAGACAAGGTGTTCTCCCGTGGACTAGGTTCTGGACCTCTACACGCCCCTTCGGCACACCCCTCGGCCCCTACGCGCTGAAATGGGCCCTAACCATCATCATGATCCTTGCTCCGCCGGCTGGTGATGCCTTCAACTTCGGTTTGCTGCCCCCTTTCCCTTGCGTGGTTTGATGCCTGCTGACGCGGATAGTCGTGGATCTTGGTGTTTATCCCGTCAACGCATTCGCCTTCCTCCTCGCGATCGGGCTCCTTCTCACCCGTCGTCACCGCACAAAGAACAATATCCCACCATCGGACTACCGCGCCTGGGACGTTGTCGTGGGCTTCTCGATCCTGTCGAACGTTTACATGCTTGTGGCCCCGTGGTATCCGCCCGCCACCGGTGCGAATGGTGGAGATGTGAGTTTCTGGTACGCGACGTATTGTGCTGTTGGGTTGGGAATGTAAGTTTCTTCTTCACGTCTCCTTGGTCGTTGGACGATGGCTGACCGCAGCAGTATCGGTCTTTGTGGGGTGTACTACTATGTCTGGATCAAGGTGCTGCCTCGCTACGGAGGATACGTGTACCGGCAGACTATCCTGAACATGGATGATGGGGCCACGGCGCATCAGCTCGTCAAAGTCCCCAAGGACCAAGTCGCCAAATGGGACGCCGAGCATGATGCTACAGGCCGGGAGAAGGAGCCGGAGGCAATCAGCAGCGCCGTGGACATCAAAGTCAGCACCAAGCATGAAATCGGTGTCTAGCGTCTGGCGTTCTTGGGTATATATATACAATGCAATCTAGCTATGTCGTTCATCATCAAGCATATCTATGCGTCTCCTCCCAGTCAGCTGGTAGTTTCAATCCCTTGGGCAGCGAGTATTCATCCACGCAGCTCCCGGGACTCAAGCAGCGCAGGTTACACCTCCCATACAAGCGACAATAGCAGGCCTCGGCGCTCGGACAGGCCCGCGCATTCAGCTGCTGTAAATCCACCCCCGACGTTAACGGATGGTTGCCGTCTGCGTACCCGAGGAAGAGAATGTGCCAGATGTACGATAAAATCCGTCCCGCAACTCGATCATCCGCCGGAGCCGCTCCTCGTCGACTCGGTCGTCCCATCCCATCGAGTAACCACTGCCGTAGCGCGACGTACTCCTCCTTGCTATGTCGATGGATTTTCTCCCGCGCGACGACGAACTGCGCACAGCACTGTGCTCGCACCGCATCATTCCGGCCCAGTTTCGCCTGCACGAATGTCTCCCGGTTGTGGTCCCCGAACAGCACCGCCAGTGCACGCGGGAGAGCTGTATCCGATGCCGCACGTGCGCTCCAGGGCTCCAGCACTGACCGCAAAGTATTTTCCAGACTTCCCTGCGGTGCGGCAGACGGGGGGCATGTGCTGATGCTCCAGTCGCAGCGGAGGTTGTGGTATCCGTCTTGCTGCAGGGCGGCGGGGACATTGAGAGCGGATAGAAGCGCGGCGTTATCGTAAATGGGGTGATCGTTGTGCCAGGCGAAGCGGGATCCGTGCACGAAGACGGCGCCGGCGGCGGGAATGTGCTCGTAGTTGTCTATGAGGAAGGTGAGATACGCCATGGCCTCATGCCCGCGGTTTGCCGGGACTTGAAGGGTTGTAGCCCGAGGGTCTGGGGCGTCGACGGTGTAGATGCAGAGATGGTAGGAGGAGGAGAGGCCATGGAGCCAGGATGGATCACCATCAGCGGTGACTCGAGAGACCACCAGCGCAGGCTTTGTGGATTTCTGAAGACCAGGACACACCCCCCTTGATTCCGGGACGGCGGAGGCGGATCGATAACGGATTCGAGTCCAAGGGAAGGACTTATTGGAGGAAGGGCGGTTAAGATACAGAAGGAGAGCGATGGCCCCCAGGACGGTCAGGTGAAAGAGCGAGCGCGATGTCTTGCGTCTCATGATGAATTGAGGCTACATAGTGAGTGAGGATGATTATTGTGCAAAGGTTGGAAAGGAGATCGAGCGTGAAGAGGGAAGAAGACATGGTGTGTCATATCCGGCATCCGAGCGATCCGCCATTCTCCGCGTCGCCCATGGTACAGAACTAGGGCCTAGGGCCTATAATATCATCCCCTGTGGTCTTAATTGAACATGCGTCCTCAGCACATAGTTCCCACTTGTAGGGATTTTATCCATTGAACCCCTTCGTTGCACCCACAGCATGTCTTTAGTTGGCCTCAATTCATGCTGAGTGTTTGATCATCGCTAGAGACACAAGCTCAGGCGAAGCCTTTTCCGACCCAGATGGCGTTCTCTGATTGGTCACTTCTTTAGAGCGTAATCTATGGCAGCGGATCATTCAGATCATTGTGAATTGCCAATAATGCTACAGAGTAATTAATGAATGGTACGGGTAGACGTCTCGATTGGGGTACGTAAGTGGATATTCGACATCAATAACCGCGATGGAGAGCTCAAGGACAACGACCAGCTAGACTTACTCAGCCAGTGCTCTCGTTGATGTCACGACTATACCCGAATCCACCCTCCTACGAGGGCATAAAGAGAGCATTTCTGCACTGATCCATGCGTTGAGGAACACACCCTATCTTCAATCAATCAGCCAAAAAAATGCCTGTACCACGTAGAGCCTTGATCGCCGTCTCCTCAGCCCATGCGCCTCTCTACCCGGACGGTAAAGAAACTGGTACGTTTCATTTAAAGAAAAAGAAAAAGTGCATTCGGTTGCTAACTGGGCGATAGGCCTCTTCATTACCGAAGCTCTGCACCCGTTCAAGGTCTTCAAAAAGGCGGGCTTTGAAGTCGCCCTGGTCTCCGAGACCGGTCATTACCAGCCCGATTGGCTGTCGCTACAGAAAGAATGGCTTCCGGAGGAGGATCGAGCCATTTGGGAGGACCATGCGAGTGAATTCCGCTCAAAGCTCGACGATCTGCTGAGCCCGAGTAAAGTGGATGCGAATAACGTAGGTGGTCGAGTTCCTCACACACACAATGATCACTGCCACTGATGGTCGGACAAGTATGGCCTGTTCTTTGCTTCTGCCGGTCATGCCTCCTTGATTGATTACCCAGACGCAAGGGGCCTGCAACAGATCGCTACTCAGATCTACAAGGACGGCGGTATCGTCAGCTCAGTGTATGTCTCATCAATGATTTCGGAGTGGGCTTACGTGACTAACCTTTGATAGCTGCCATGGCGGAGCGATCTTCCCTGGCATCATCGACACTACCACCGGCAAGCCTATCATCGCAGGTCGCCGAGTCACCGGCTTTACCACCAAGGGTGAGGAAGAAGAAGGTGTCCTAGACACCATCAAGAGCTGGAATCGCCCCACTATTGAAAAGTCCGCTGCCGATTGTGGAGCGACATGTAAGTGCCAGATCCATTGAGCTTCTGTATCATGTCTAATGACCCGCAGATGTCTCTCCTCCTGGACCATGGGATGCCTTCACCATCACAGACGGACGCATTGTGACTGGTGCCAACCCAGCCAGTGCAACGGTCACGGCTGAGGCTGCCGTGGCTGCTTTTGACAAGTTGTAAATGAATAATCGGGATAGTGCTGAGTAGTCCGTCTAGATTTGCTATGTAGAATTAATAATTATTCGTCCCCGAAGTATTGCGGCTGGGCACCTCCTAGAGCTTAATACACACCTCCCCCAAAGAGTTATTTGTCCTCATCAGCTATAGAATCCAGCGCAGGAGTATCCGCAAACAACGTGGCGGCACGAGCTCCATCATACCGGGTCCCTGCAACTTCGGCCGCATCGCAGGCCAAACGAACCTCTCGCTCCTCCTCATCTGACAACTCAATCTCCAGACTGCCCAGATTCTCCTTCAACCGATCAACTTTGACAGTCCCTGGGATAGGAAAGACATCATCCCCCTGGGCCATCAGCCACGCCAGCGTCAGCTGCGACACCGTGACCTTCTTCCTGTCCGCAACTTCCTTGAGCTTCTGTACCAACTCCAGATTTTTGTGGAAATTCTCCCGGCTGAATCGCGGCAAGATTCGACGGACATCGCCCTCTGCCAGGTCGTCCGGTGAGGTGAGCGTGCCGCTCAGAAACCCACGGCTGAGCGGGGAGTATGCCACGACCGCGACACCCAACTCCCGCGCCGTCTCAAGCACCTTGTACTGGGGGCTCTCGATGTCCAGCGCAAAGGGGGAATACTCCATCTGCACGGCGGTGATGGGATGCACTTTGTGCGCGCGACGGAGGGAATCGGCGCTGCACTCGCTCAGGCCGAGGTACTTAATCTTCCCTTCGTTTTTGAGCTGCACCATGGCCTCGATCGTCTTTTCGATGGGTGTTTTGCGGTCAATCCGGTGGCAGTAGTAGAGGTCTATCGTTTCGATGCCGAGCCTTGAGAGAGAGCGCTCACATGCCGCCCGAACGTATTCGGGCGAGCCATCGACATACCAGTCCCCGTCGGTGTTCTGCCGGTTGGCGAATTTGGTCACAAGGAAGACGTCCTGGCGCTTAGAGGGGTTGGCCTTGAACCACTTCCCGAGGAGCTCCTCACTGTCGCCGTAAATATCGGCTAATAGGGTCAGAACGTAGAAGATATGTTGAGATGGAGAGGAACATACCACTGTCCCAGAAAGTCTCGCCGAGCTCATAGGCTGCATCCAGCAGGGCGAGTCGCTCGCTGTCTGGCTTGGCCGGGCCATAGAAGGAGCTAAGACCCATGAGGCCGAATCCCAATCGGGAGACCTGAGGGCCATTGGCGCCAAGAGGACGGGTAGGGAGCCTGGTCATGATTGTTAGATATTGCAATGCTAGGAGCTTTGTGGTGCTCTATGGTGAGTGTTGTGCCTCTGGACGACCATGGCCACGACCACTACTTATATTCTGAAGATATCAGGTTAGAGGACACAGTGGTATGAGGAATGCCCATTGACATCCTTTCTTGATTAGAAATAGATCCCGCGTGGTATGCGGATTTTATATTGGATGACACTCTTATGTCCGTTAACAGCGGGAACAGGTAGAATTGAGAGTATGGAAGCTCAAACAGCATACCCATTGAGTATAGAGCTATGGAAGCTCAGGATTTTTGAACATAGCCCCCCGAATCCAGTAGGAAGACTCGACTAGCAACACTAGCCAGCCTGCTATGCTAATGGCCCAGTCCACTGAACATCCAAGGCCTTTCGGACTTTAGCACCTGACCCCTGCAGCCGAGACACAGGCTCGTATAAAAAGACATATCGGATGTATGGCTTTCCGTGCTCCTCTCCCCATTTATTCATCACAGTAGCACATACTGCATGTTTCAGCCGCCGTTCTGACGCTGTCTTGCCGTCCAATCCAAGACCACTCACGCGGACGAGGAGACTCCACCCTCCGGCCGGAACACCCACGGGTAAACCATGAAGCTCGGGATGAACCACGTCCCGGCGCGCTTGGAGCTCCACTAAACCCGTAGCAAGCGCCTCCCGGGACCGCTCAAGGGCAATGGCAACAGCTTCCTGGGCGATCCCTACTGGTACGACCTCGCTCGCCATGGACCCTGCGGCAATGTCCGCACGCGATTAATGAGCCCGCGATAGGTCGGATCTGTCAATATCACCTCGGCGCCCTCCTCGGCGGTAGCGAGCAACACGTTGAGAATCCCAGACAGTCCAGCAGCGGAGGTGACGCAGTGGTGCTTTTCATACGGCATTCCGGATAGCTGTGAGACGTGTTGAGTAGCTACTTCCTTGAGACGGTCTTTTGCCGGCAAGGGAAGATAACTGTTGTTCTGATCCTCTTGGGTAGCTCACGCAGTGTATGCCAAACAGAGCCTCTGGGTCAAGAGGGATGTCGACTTCCAGATTTTCCAATCATGGAAAGTCGTCATTCGCTGCATCTGCGATCCGGGCCATCTGGTCCACACCAATACCCTGAATATGGTTCAGGCGACGGGGACGAGAGTGAGGCCTATTGACGATGTATCGGTCTCTTAAAATAGGAATATCCGACGCTGAATGAATGGGCGTGGATAGGATAGTCAAGTTGAGCTCTTCCATCACCCCGTACTGCAATTGAGTGATTCTTGTATACTTCTGCTGATATGCAGCGCCATCTCAAGCCGTGCTTGTGCCGGTCGATTGTTGATGTGGCGACAGATACAGCTACAAGATCACCAATTATAGGCAGAAGTGGCAAGGTCAATTGTTCCGACAGACTGGAAGTACAGCAATAGTGTGTTGATCGATGCAAGGTCAGTGGTAGAGTTTGAACAATGAACCATCAGTCATGACCAAGAACGAGGCCAATGCGATATACTTCCACTCTATACAAGAATGGTGCTAATCTGAATATAGGAACAACATCACTTTAGTAATTGTAATTCCAAGCAGATGCCTTGTTATTCATCTAGAGGGGAGTCGCGAGCAATCGAGGTAGGGCCGACAACGTATCCAAAAGTCGGTTATAACAAGCCTCATTATCATTAACCCATAGAGTAATCAGACTGATATCTGACCGTCAATGCAAGGCCCAACTGTTGGCTACCTTGAAAAGAAAAAGCCCGAATTGCTGGCCCCCAACACTGCTCCTTTCTTTTTTGTCCGAAGTGCAATTTTTGACCCCAAACAGAACGGGCCATTGAGATTCCAACACCTCAGCCTTGAACCCAGGTTATACTGTTGGATGTAGCAGATTTCACAGCATCTTGACCGGGAAGGCACTGCCTCAAAGCAATCCAACCAACACAAATGAAACCAACAGGTCCAAGATATAGGGCCAAATTCCATGTTGGAGGCCTGTCCTCTCCAGCCACCGTTGTCCATCCATAAAAAGGGCACATCCACCCTCCTACCTGGCAGGCTAGATCCTACTGAGAAACATTCTATGCCTTGTTCCCTCGGAAGCACTCTAAAGATCGACAGTCGTGAACCTCCAATACCTACCGCCGGACAAAGTCTACAAGATGCGATACTCGTGGCCAAACATTGTTTTGGCGCTGGCCATCAGCGGCCTACCCTCAGCCATTCTGGGACGAGCTATACCGGACTCCCTTGACAATGCCCCCGCATGTGTCGGTGATGAGTGCCCAGGTGAGGAACATGCGCTGGAAACAACACCGTTCGATTTGAAGACCACAGGTATTAACAAGCCGGATAGACAGTTTTCTGCCTCGAGGGGTTCCATTCCGCCCCTGGAGAGGAGAGCCCGATCCCGTCCCAGGGCCTGACAACCGGCCAGGTAATAAGGCTCCGGGGTCTCATCCGGATGGGCCTCCTGTTATCCCAAAGCCTGATTCCAATCCAAATGGGATGACGCAGGTGTTGCCAATGGACAAATACAAGGAGAATGGGGACAAGGCCAGAGGGGAACTCGACAACGCAATCAAGCAAAAGACCCCGGATACAACGGTCAAGCCTGAAGGCAATTTGCAGGGGCAGGGCACATACGCCAACATCAAGGACGGGTATAACGTCAAGCAGGACTTTCCCAAGGGAGATCGTGACTGGCCGGAGCTGTCAGCCGTCATGAAGAACGACCCGGAATTGGGGTATGTCGGTTCCGCGAACTTCAGGGAACGGATCATCCAGTCCAAAGCGACAAAGGATGAAACAGCGGTCACCAACGACTGTGCGTTTGACCACCAGAATGGGGTGATTGTCGCCCTGCGCAATTTCGCCCAGAATGACCACTGGCCGACCAAGCCCAAAGACCCCCATCGACTGCCCTTCTCAGAATTGACCTTCCAGTCCCTGAAAGACAGTGCGCCGAGGAAGATTGGCAAACCCTCCACGTATGACCCCAAAAACCTCAAATTGGTCATCCGGCGGGATGTACAAAATGAAGGAACGAGAGCAATCGTGGCGCAAGCACACAGTGATAATGGTATTCCCATGACCCAGCGAGGTGTCTTTGAGCTTGATTCAAAGGATCCCAAGATATCTGAGTCCTTCAGAGCATTGAGCGGGGCCGACAATGTCAAAGGGGTTTATTACATGTTGAAAGACCATCATCAGGAAATTGGGGATAAAACCATCAAGAAGATCTACACCTACCCTCGGGAGATGGAGGGCTCAAACAAGAAGCTGACTCTGGCTCTTGTCCTTGGATAGTCAACGCCGGCTATCATAACACACTATAAGCATCAGGAGGGGCTTTGGCCGGTGTTTAGAGTACGATGGGTTGAATTGAAATGGCTATGGCTCACTCGGATTCCTTTCTTTATAGTTTTTGATTTGCGTCTCGTCTCGCTCACCAAGTATGATCTGTTGCGTTTCCGTTTTAGGTGATTTTTTACAGTGGATTTATATTGCTTTGGAAAACCTTTCTCTTTCTCCAATGCGTAGTTCTATTAAGTAGAAACCAGATAGGTATTTTGGAAGCTCGCCGAGCTCAACTGCTATTCGATCATAATACTTGTATACTACTAACTGGGGACATCGTTCTATCATCCGGACGGATACTCCAAATTGAGATGGAATGTTAACATTGCAATTCACTAACGGAACATGATATCTATCTTATTACACCACAATAATGACAAAAGCCTGTCTCAGTACTTGCCAATCCACCTGCAGGTCCTTTCATCAACCAAAAACCCGCTGCATACCAGCCTCGGCTCATCCAAGGGATACTCGTCACTGTCAGGCATGGCCTTATCTTCTCCTCCCAGCTGCAACAGGAGATTGTAAACATGGAAGCGCCCCATGCTCCACGCTTGGAAAACCGCATCGCAGCGAAGATCCTCGTCATTGGGGGAGACACCAGCTTCCACCAACACCCGCACAGTCTGCGCACAGCCCCTTATGGCGCTCATCACCAAAGCAGAGTTCCCCTCTGTGTCAGGGGCCGTGGGATGAAGACGTCTATTCATGTCAAACCCCTGCTGCAGCAGGATCCTCAGCAAATGATCCTGGGCTCCATCTGTCGCCGACCGAAAGGCAGCACATGGATCGCCGCCGTATTCGAGGAGAGTGAGAACGGCTTCCTCATGTCCTCGCGACGCGGCTACGCGAACGGCAGAACCTTCGTAGCCAACGTCGCAGGCCACATCGGCGCCGTGTTCTAGGAGCAGGCGAATGACGGGTGTATGGCCATGCCGGGCAGCCATCTGCAGGGGGGAGGCGCTGTATAGCGCGGGATTCACAAGTTGAGCATTTACATCAGCTCCATTTTCGAGCATCATGCGTACGACCGGTTCGCGCCCATGATATGCAGCCTCCCACAACACGACCTTCCTCAGTTCCGGTTGAGCATCCCATGTTGTACCGTATGCCTGCAGAAGTGCCATGAGGATATCTGCATGGCCCCCGCGCGCAGCAGCGAGGAAGACTCGAAACCATTCATTTCGACAAGATTCAAGCTTGTACTCCGGACGCAAGAGGAGATGAACAATCTCCGTGTGGCCTGCAAGCGCAGCAGCCCGGAGGGAACTTCCATTCGAACTCCGGTAGACTCTACGGCAATAACGGTCAAGAAAGGCATTCCAAGGCCGGCCATCGTACTGCACCGCGTCGCGACCGGATAGTGAATGAGGATCGGCGCCACTTTCCAGAAGATATTTCACCACCGCTGTGTGGCCCCATGCGCAAGCAATCTGTAATGGTCGACCGAGATACGCACTTTCTGTGTTAACCATCCACGAGGAAGGAACGGTGCCAGCGTTCAAGAGACTTTTGACCAAAGAAAGGTTTCCCAGGCTGATTGAAGCGCAAAATATGTTGTGGAAAGCTTCCGCTTCACTGAGGGTTTGGCTACCTTCTTCTTCGAGATAACCAAATGGATGGTCTTGCGAGCGTAGATGTTGGGCGACAGCCTCGCTGATTATTTCATGGTTACGGCATCTTGATTCTTGTTGCACCGAGATTTGCATACCATCCAATGCGTCAATGATTTTGGATAATGCGCATAGAACATGGTTCCGGTGGGGATTGGACTTGGACTTGGCCAGCACCAGTCTTCCCATCGCCGGTGGAGGTAAACCTGAAGAACGCGTCTGTACATCATCGGGATCCAGAAAATCAATGACTTGACGAACAAAGACTGCGTGCAAAATAGCCACATCAAACCTTCCTGCAAAGATGCATTGTCAGTCGCCAAAACGAGGACCAAAGACAGAGGAAGGTTGGGACGTACTGCTGACGCTGCGCAGTCGAACTGCTTTGCAGTTGCCGATGATGAGGACCAAGTGCTCAACGATGAGAGCAAAGATCTCCTCCGGGAGTTGAATGAGATCCATGATGAATGCCTTCGGGGGGAATGATATTGGACAAGACTATGAAAGGACAGCGGGTGCTGGAACTTGACAACAAATGAATGTTTTTTGACTGGCGGGTAAGCTTCAGGAACCCCCATAGAGAGTAACCGAGACCTCAGATAAAGGTGTCCATAACAATCGAGACAGGTGGCACTCCCAGAACTTGTTAGTAGTCTGATGTCAGGCTGGAATAAATTCAACTTGCTGCGGTACAGCCCCCCGGATGCTCAGACACGGTCTCTATCATGGTTCAAAGGGCTTCAACCACCCGGCTAAGCTTACAGCAGCTGCTTTTGAACTAGAATTTTTAATATCATTTGCCTGTCATAGATAGTATAGATTATTCTCCTGTTCCATATCAATTACTACGACACCGCCTCCAAAATCGACAGCAAGCTCGTCGCCGTCGCCACGGCTTCTGTCCCCTTGACGTCCTTCGCCGGGGGATAACTGGATCTCACCAGCCGCGCCAGCTGCGCTGCCAGCAGATGCTCGCGGAACTGGATATCCAGTCCTCCCACCATATGAATCGAATGCGCGGCCCCATTGGCACCCCCCTTCTCTCCCCAGCACAGCCTCGCCCCCACCGTCTCATCCTCCATCTTCCCCGTCTTGCTCCCCTCCTTCTTCCACACCCTCTTGGTCTCGTAAAGCGTCTCCCACGCAAACGGCTTGAAGAAGCCCCCTTTGCCATCCTCCCGTCCATCCTTCCAGACGAATTTGCGCCCGCCGTACTCGAACCGTCGTGGAGCCCAGTCTTTCCGATGTGCTTCCCGGTCGGGGATCTCGGTGATATTGCCGATATCCGGGATCGTGCTGGTGATCAGTCTGAAGCTGCCGCCGGCCGTCTTGCGAATCCGGACGCTCACGGCACCGATTTGCGGAAGAAACTCGCCTGCGCGTCGGAGTACCGCTTCGGTGATGGGCTCCACGTTACTCCAGAGGGCTTGCAGGGCATATAGCGTGTGTGTGTTGGTCTCGTCTTTGACGAAGAACCAGTGCGAGCGGACGCCGAGGTCAACTAGCTCCGAGGAGTGAGTGATGCGGTAGGTGATGGGTGGTGCTGAGGGGAGTGATGTGGAAAAGAATGGGATCTGAGAAGAGTCGGAGTCGAGGAAGGGAAGCAGATGAGATGGAGGTGTGACAGTGTCTCCCTCTGGGGCTGCAATTTCATTCTTGCGATGCTTATGAAGGTCTCTCCGGATCTACCAGCATTATTTGCTCAGCGGTGCATGGCGAGAAGAAAAGCGCTCGATCCTCACCTGCGACAACGTCCAGTGGCCTTCCTCCTCCTTTTCTAGCTCCTCCATTGCATCCAGAACTGTCGGCGGCAGGACGATCCCATCAAAACTGCCCTTCTGTTGGAGGCGCTCTAGATACGCAAGTCGCTCACGGTGCACTTCCACCTGCCGCTCAAACATCTTGCGGTTGACTTTGCGCACATTCATTTTCTTGAACGTGGTGGCTGCTTTGCTCAGTATCTCCACGGCGCTTTGATAGATCCTAATCGCCCCTTCGTAGTCTCCTTCGCGCTCCAGGATAAACGGGCGTGCGGACAATCGATAGATGTCATTATTGGTGTCGATTTTTTCGGCCATTGTGGTAGAGACAATTCAATATTATCGGCTGAGTTTACATTGAACAGCAGAACAAGTGGCGATTCCTACAATTATATATCTCATGTCACGATCCTATCCCCTCAACCCTTTTGGTTTCACCATGCTCTGCTATACTTCAAGATACAGCCGGGTCAATGGCTTTTGCCAAGCTGGAATACGCCTGCCAAGTAATCCTCCAGGCTCACTGCAACTTCCGGCTTTGCTAGGCAGCCTGAAACTGGAAGCTGCGGTCAGATTGACAATCCAAGAAAGTGGTGGCTCTCCTGGCACTAGGATCAGAGGATGACAGTTAAGCTCTTTAGGATATGGGCCTCTCCACATCATCGCCGAGATGGCCAGCAAGGCGAGGCCATGGCCTTCTCATAGTCTCAATCACGGGGTCATTGGCCAAGCCATCGGTTATCGATGCCATTGACAGGGCTATCGCTTATAATTACCACTCTTGAGTGCTTGGCGAGTCAGATAGGCCCCGCTGTACACAGCCTGGCGTGCCCGGTGTACGAACTGTGGAGTCAGGAAGCATGCATTGAATCAGGGAATGACTCGCGCACGTGGTGAAAAGAGCAGATGATGCTTGTCAGGCTGTTGAAACTTGAGAGGCTGGGCACATTTGGACATGGAACGGGGTTACATTATGGAACTGGCTGGGGCTCTACGGAGTAGATATAGGCGGATGAATATACCCTCAAAACAACAGTACGTATCAAGATTCAACCGAGGCCCAATCACGCCTCCACTATCCTCTCCTGCATGATCTTTGCATCTGCATCCACTGTCATCCCTTCCTCTTCCTCTTCTCTCTCCTCCTCTTTAACCGTAATCCAGAGAATTCCCGTCGTCCAGAATAACAACCCAACTGACACCCCAATCATCGCCCACATGCCCCGAGTGTACTTGGGCGCATCGGTGACCGAGTAGAAGTACAGACTCCACCAGGTGTTAAACGCCGTACTGCCCGTGTTCATACTGGCGATGACCACGCTCCTCAGCCGCGCGTTCTGGCGCCTCATCACGTCGTTGCACCATGCGAAGAACGTCGCCTGGCAGGCATACACGGAGCCAGCCCAGTAGTATGCTGCGAAGACGGTCGCTGTGGACTCGAACCGGGTCAGAATCATAGACGAGGTGATGATCCCCGTGATACCGATCCAGAAGCCGACGAGGTACCGCTTGCCACCCAGGTAATCCGTCAAGACGGCCCAAAAGAGGGTCGAGATGATGCCCACGGCCGGAACGCCGGTCGGGTAGTTGTTTAGTTGTGGGATGGTGTACCGATGCGTCGGGTGCGCCTTCATGTACATGGACAGCAGGGCGTTGGTGGAGAATGCCTCCGTTGCGCCGGCGATGATCCACAGCCCCACGAAGGCGTACCAGTGCCAGCTCCGGAAGATAGACTTGAAGAAGGATAGGTTCAGGGAAGCGTTGACAGCGCTGCTTTCGGGCATCCGCGCAATCGCCAGTGCTCGCTCGGAAGGCGTGAGGTATGGCGCTTTAGTAGTAGTTGGGACGTCGGGGAAGAAGAGGTAACCATATATGGCGATAGGGATTGTCATGACACCATCAATCTGCAGTTACCCAATCAGGACCGTCGTACCATAGTAGCAAATGATGATAAACGGAGAGACTCACGATGAAGAGCCACCGCCAGCCCGAAAGGCCATGTATTCCATCCATCGACGAATGAATGGCCGTCTGCAAAAAGCCGCCAAACATCGTACCAGCAAGCCCTGAGGCAGTAAACATTCCACTGCGTTTTCCCAGCTCCTTCTCCGTATACCATGACCCCAGGATGTAATGAGTGCCAACGAAGCTGCTCGATTCCGCCACACCGAGAAAGAAGCGAATCGCCATGATATCTCGGGGCTTGGTGACCGCCGCAGTGACCATGGTCAATCCTCCCCAGAGAACCATCATGGCTGGCAGGAAGATCCGAGGAGGAATATAGGTCAGAGCCAGATTCGATGGCACTTGGCCAACAATGAATCCCACTGCAAAGACCGTGCCGATCACATTGATCTCATTCCCGCGGAAGTCCAACTCTTCCTTCATTCCCGAGACATAGGCGTTCATGAGATTGGATCGGTCCAGGAAGTTGGCGAAGAAGCACAGGCAGCAGAACGTCAAGATGAAAAAGTCGAGTTTGCGAAGGAGCTTCGCCTCGCCCGGCACGCTCTCATGGCCTTTCAGGTAGGCGAGGAACTGGGAGAACATGGTTCGCCACGAAGAGTAATTGGCTCAAACAGTTGGAAATTCGGTGGTAATCGATCGGAAAAGGCTCGTGTCCTCTCCTCTCAGGACGTACCCTTTAGGAAGGGAATGAGATGTCTCCATCTTCGCCATGCTCTTCCTTTTAAACAGAGATCCTTGCGATATCACGTCTGACCTTTGAGTTCTGACGTGATAAGAGCCATGTAGCTGTCGTCGGGCAAACATATGAGGTGTGCCTTTCCTGAGACTGATAGTCAGATAATGTACACCGAAGATAGGAATAGCTACGAATAGTCACGGATCAATCTGACGAGCCCTAAGTCTTGACAGTGCTTGAGGTCCCCTGATCGGTCTCAGTTACCAGTAAGCGATTGGCGGAAATGCCGGCTCAATCTATCAAAAAATCGCTTCCAGACATCTATGCGACACATCTTCAGGGAACATTGGACGTATATCGTCAAAATCGTCGTACTCTGCAGCTTTCTATAGGCGCTGTAACCGAGATATGTCCTAATCTTCGGCGCTGATTGCTCCATGACTTGGCAACGGCATATCGCCATCCCGACTGCTTATCGACTCACGATGGACCAATCCGGCGCCACGTCACTTGGGAGATAGGCGAATTAACCGAATGAGTCGACTGGAAACTATCGGGGGTTCTGTTGACACTGGGTAGCTTAAGCCTTGACCATGTGTGGTCCGTCGCCCCGCCCTATCGGGTAGCTGTTCGTGGGCAATGCATGCAACTCTACTTAAGATCATATCAAACCGTGGATGGTCTGTCTCTACAGCACTTTCTAATCTCTCTATCAAAAGTTCGTGCGCCAATCTGAAGTATGACAGTCCAGCCTTGGGAGAGTATCTCGGCCAAGAAGCGCCAGGCTCTGGCACAGGCTATTCCTCCGGAATGGCTGATTCCAGCTGATATCCTCCCGCCTGATGACCAGGCCGATGTGACAACCTTCCTCCACGAGTCCGGCTGGTTCACCGACAGAGAGTTGGAGATTCTCGACACGCCGTCGCAGAAGATTCTGGCGGAGATCGCTTCCCAGTCCTGGACTTCGGAAGAGGTCACCCGAGCCTTCTGCAAAGCCGCCGCTGCTGCTCAACAACTGGCAAGTTCACGCCAACCCATCACTTCGTGAATGTATGCTGATGAAGACAGATCAATTGCTTGACGGATTTCTTCTTCGAAGAGGCCATTGCCCAGGCAAAGGAGCTGGATGAGTCTCTCCGAACAACTGGAACGATCAAGGGCCCCTTCCATGGGCTCCCAATCTCTATCAAAGATAACTTCAACATGATCGGCAAGGACTCGACAATCGGACTGGCCTCGCTGGCCGATCAGCCCGCAACGTCGAACAGTGTCCTAGTAGACATACTTGTCAAAGCAGGAGCGGTGCTGTACGTCAAGACCAATATCCCCACCGCCATGATGATGGGAGAATCAGTCAACCACGTCTTTGGGCGCACTGTGAGTCCGCTGAACCGGAATATGACTTCAGGCGGGTCTTCAGGTGGTGAGTCCGCTCTTGTTGCGTTCGGAGGCAGTCGTCTGGGTGTAGGAACAGACATCGGTACGTTTTCTTCTCTAACTCACCCACTGTGGAAAGATACATTCTCATTTGGCTGCAGGTGGCTCCCTCCGCATTCCGGCCGCATGTACTGGGATTTTCACTATTCGTCCCTCGTTTGGGCGCTTCCCCAGTGCGCTGGTCCGCGCTGGGCTAGCAGGCCAGGAAAGTATCGTCAGCGTAGCTGGACCAATGGCTCGTACTCTAGACGAGATTGTCTTCTGGTCCAAGACGGTGATAGACTATGCACCCTGGCTGCTAGACCCCAAGTGCTTGCCGATTCCCTGGCGGACGGTCCAGCTGCCGCAACGGTTGAGGATTGGTGTCCTGTGGCACGATGGGATTGTTGCACCGACGCCCCCGGTTGCGCGTGCATTGAAGGAGGTGACCGGGAAGCTCGAGAAGGCGGGTCACGAAGTCGTCACCTGGAAGAATACCGATTATATTGAGCTACTGACGGTGACTGGGCGTATGTTCCTTGCGGATGGCGGCAAGTCCATCAAGAAACTGCTCGAGCCCACAGGGGAGCCCTTCCCGGCGGAGATGAAGCCCTTTGAAGCTGCGCAGGAGATTGGCGTCCACGATCTGTGGCAGTTGCATGTGGAGCGAACTCGGCTAGCCCAGGCGTTTTTGAATCGGTGGAACGAGAGCGGTATTGATGCTATCCTGTGTAAGTGTTGTCCTTTCAATGCGTCGACATTCGACTAAAGAAAAACAGGCCCGACAACCCCGTACAGTTCGGCGCCCAATGGCAAGTTCGCATATGGCGGATACACGACGATATTCAACGCTTTGGACTATAGCGCCGTCTCGTTCCCTTGTGGCGTGCACGCTGATCGGGAAGTGGATGCTCCATATGCGGACCATAAGAGCCTCTCCGAGTTGGACACCAAGGTGCAGTCGGACTGTAAGTGAAGGGACGCTCCCCTGGCCATATTGATAACTGCTAACTCGTGAGAAGACGATGCGCAGGCTGTGCATGGAGCGCCTGTGAGCCTTCAATTGGTAGGACGCCGCCTGGAAGAGGAGAAGGTCCTGGCGATGACGGATGTTATCCTGCAAGCTATTTCGAAGGCCTCTGATTGTAACGGCCTTGCTGAGCTATGTAGATAGCTCCTCCTATAGACATATACTGACGCTGGTCATCCACAATCGATTCGAGATGAGCGGCCATCTCCGCTCGGCGAGAGGAAATTACCACTCCTCTTCCGTCTTTCTGGTTTGCTGGATATATTAAAAAGGTGCCTGAACCGGCTCCAGCCCGTATTTGTCGAATATTCGTGGTGAATGCCAAGTGGCTTGGCTGGCGATGGCTCATCCTCACTGGTTCTGGATAGACAGAATACGAGGATCAGCATGTCTAGCTTCAAACACCAAGAGAATCAGCAGTTGGAACTTCGGTCGCGTTTCATCTGTCCGCCTCGCGAGGAAGAAAAAGGCAGAATCCCCAGATTTCATGAACGTGTCAATCTTCGCTGCAAGTTCCATCGTCATTCTGTGCCAGCAACCTCCACTCCTTCTCCCACTGTGTTACTTCCCAATCGCAACATGAAGTGGTCGACTCTCCTCCCTGTGGCCATCTCGGTCTCGCTCATCCCAGCTGCATTGGCCTGGGAAGTCTCCTGGACAGACGCCAACGGCAAGAAACAGCAGGAGTCTGGCCATGGCCCCAGCGACTGCATCCAGATCGACAACCCCGCGGGCAATCTGTTCAAGATCGATGCGCAGAACGAAAACGACATCAACATGCTGCTCTTTACCAACGATCAATGCTCAGGCGAGGCCGCCGGCATGGCGACCCAGGTCTTCTCGAAGGAATCGTCGCAGCATCTCCTCGGCTTCCAGGTCGTGAGTCTCTCGTCCACGACCGGCTCCACGGGCGCGACCAAGACCGCCTCCAACTCGACCGCTGAGTCCACGGGGAAAACCACGGCGACGTTAAACAGCGCCTCTGCGACGACGTTTCCCTCCTCACAGAGTCAGTCGCCTACCGTGGGCGCCGACGAATCCATGACTCTTTTGCCGATCATGTCCACCACCACCACCCCCGCCATCACCACCACATCCACGACGTCTGAAGCGACTTCTTCGGCCGGTTCATCTACCGGAGTGAGTGCCTCGAGCACGCCGACCAACAATGCCTCGCCGAAATTGGGGTCGGGGGTTGGTATTGTGGGGGCTGTGGGTGGATTTTTGGGGCTGATGATGGTGTAATGGGATTCAATGGTAGTAGTTATTTGAGGGATGTTGATAATTCTCTACTTTGAAGTCATCCTTCATACTAAGATCATTTTTCTCGTGTAAATCCGGTTTGGCCCACTCACTACTCCGTACTAACTACTAAATACTAAATACTAACTACTGGCAGAAGATGATCTGATATATGTCGTCGGCTCATTCGGAACGTCATGCTGTCATTATCGGCCGATATCGAATCCTGCAGCTTTCGTCCTTTTCTCTCGGTCTAACTGAATAATAATAATAATTATTATTATTATTATTATTATTATTATTATTATTATTATCTTCTAGCGTAACTGTAATTGTCTTTTCGGCCGACTGACAGGACAAGCATTTGCATTTGCAGATCCACCAGAGATTGTCTGAGGGAGAGACAGTCTAATTGCATCATCACATAAGTCTTAGGAGAGAGATATATATATAACACTTACACAGCATCCGGCAAATCTATCCCATAAATATATATTATATCCTCATGATGGCTTCACTACGCCCCCGTACACTCCCCTTGTCCGTCTCTCGATGTGTTCGTCCGCTTCCCAGGCGAACCACGACGGTCCCCCATCATCATGAACGCCTGCAATTACGAACGTTTACTACGGCAAGAAGATACAATCAGTCCAACCCAGGCCAGAATGCTGCCTACCAAGCCAAACCCCGATTCAACTCCATCCAACTCGTCCTTTCATCCTGTAAGGTCCCCTCCCCTTTCTTCCCCGTTCGTCTACCATGGCTAATAGATCCAGTAATCGTCGCTGCCGGCGTTGGAGGCTACCTCATCGGCCGGTCCGATCAACCACCCCCAACAACTCTCTCTGACAAATCGACCAGTCCTCTGGAAGACTGCCAGCCCCCGAACTACGACCTCACTCCCGAAAACTTGAAAGCCGCCTGCGCCGAGTTCGCCGAGATCATCGGCAAGGACAACGTCACGACCAACGCCGACTCCATGGGCTCCTACTCCGGCTCGGACTGGTCGTCGTACACCCCAACCGCAACCCAGAAGCCCTTTGTCGTCGTCAGTCCCGCCTCGACCGACGAGGTCTCGCGCATCATGAAAGTCTGCCATCGCCGTCGCATCCCCCTTACCGCCTACGCGGGCGGCACCAGCCTCGAGGGCCACTTCACCCCGACCCGCGGCGGCGTCTCCCTCGACCTCCAGCGCATGGACAATATCCTCGCCCTGCACAAGGATGACCAGGACGTCCACGTGCAGGCCGGCGTGGGCTGGGAGGATCTGAACGCCCAGCTCGCCAAGGACGGTCTGTTCTTCCCGCCGGATCCCGGCCCCGGTGCGCGCATCGGCGGTATGGTCGGCACAGGCTGCTCAGGCACTAACGCCTACCACTACGGCACCATGCGGGACTGGGTGCTGTCGCTCACGGTGGTGCTGGCGGACGGCACCGTCATCCAGACCCGGCAGCGGCCACGCAAGTCCAGCGCGGGGTATGACCTCACCCGTTTATTTATCGGGAGCGAGGGCACGCTGGGCATCGTGACCGAGGCCACGTTGAAGTTGACCCCGAAGCCAAAGAATGAGCGCGTGGCCATCGCGTCGTTTCCGTCGATCCAGGACGCCGCCGGCTGTGTGGCGCGGGTGGTGGAAGAAGGGGTGAACATCGCGGCGGTGGAGCTCCTGGACGACGTGCAGATGAAGTGCGTGAATGCCGGGGGCGCGACCGAGCGTCACTGGGAGGAAAAGCCGACATTGTTCTTCAAGTTTGCGGGTACCAAGGCGGCAGTCGACGAGGAGGTGCGCATCGTCCAGGAACTGGTGAAGCAAGGCCGGGATACCAGCTTCGAATTCGCACGCAACGCCGGCGAGGCGGAGGAACTATGGAGCGCGAGGAAATACGCGCTCTGGAGTATCATGGAGCTGAAGAAGGATCCGAGTGAACATGTGTGGACGACCGATGTGGCTGTTCCCATCAGCAGACTCCCGGACATCATCCACCAGACGAAGGAGGATATCAACCGCAGTGGGTTGACGGGGGGGATTGTGGGACATGTGGGCGATGGCAACTTCCACGGTATGTCATTGAATTTTCCTATCGGCCGGGAACACTTACTAACCGATCGAAAGTGATGTTACTGTATAGCGAGAAGGTTCGCGATGTAGCCGAGAAGCTCGTCCATGACATGGTCGAGCGGGCGATTGAGATGGAGGGAACCATCACCGGCGAGCACGGTGTCGGCCTAGTGAAGAGGGATTTCCTACCCTCAGAGGTCGGACAGAAAACCGTCGACACGATGCGCCAGGTAAGGCCTCTTGAACGGGGAATGTGCTGTGGCCTCATGCTGACTGACCTGACCAATGTATAGGTGAAACAAGCCCTGGACCCGCTGTTGCTGCTCAACTGCGACAAGATCCTGCGCGTAGACCCTAGCTCGTAGCTGGCAATTGGACACTAAGAATGGATCACAGCTTGCCACAAATAGCTTCATCCCAAATTCAGACAAGAACAAGCTAGTCGGCGGTGTCGGGGGCCAACTCGATCTGTGGATGGTGGCAGCAACAGAGACACTGCGGCTACCGGACGACGGATATTGGTTTCTACGTGGAATGTTAGTCCTTGCGGATGTGTGATGACCAAAAAATTCTTGTACAGTATGTGTTCATGCGAATAAAATGCCTATTTATTCATATTCATCTATCTAGATCAATCATTGCTCTCAAGGAATCGCTCGACAATGACAACAAACTAACAGGCTAAAAAGAATAAATCTCAAAGGCGTATCCATCACCACCTATCACTCCTACTCCTTGACAAACTTCACCCAGCATACATGCTCTTCCATCCGCGGGAACTGCTCATCAGAAAACACCTCATACCGAGCCGTCACCCCTGGCGAAACTCCCTCGAACCCAGGCGTGATCTCTGTCTTGTACGTCCGATACACACTCGCCAGCAGAGTCGTCATCTCCGCCATGGCCAGACTATTGTTTCCTTAGCCTAGCGACCTACCGGAGGGGGTAGGAATCACTTACTGCATCCCAATACACATGCGTCCTCCGCTCGAAAACGCCCAGAACCACCGCTTCATCTCGGCGACTGCCTCCGCATCGCCCAGCCACCGATCCGGGTTGAACCGTGTCGGATCCTGGAATACCCGCGCGTTGCGGTGGAGGGTGTACGGGCTCATACTCACCACCGTTCCCTTCGGAATCGAATACCCATCGATGATTTGGTCGGTGTCTGCGAAGCGCGGCTCCGTCCCCGGTAGCGGCGCGAAGAGACGCAGCGTCTCCTTGATCACGGCGTCGAGGTAGGGCTGCTTATCTGCTGCGATGGCGCTCACGACCCGGTCGGTGGTGACTTCCTCGCCCAGGGAGCGCACCTCGGCGCGCAATTTGTCTTGAAAGATTTGGTTCTCTGGCTGCGACAGCGCGAACATCGCCCACATGCTGGTGTCGCTGGTCGTGTCGATGCCGGCGAGGAGGTGGTCGGCGCATTCGCTCGCTACGTCCAGATGGTCCATGGGGACTCCCTTGGGATCGGCTGTGCGGCCTGCGACGAGGAGCCGCTCCGCGATGGATGCATTCACATCGAGGCTCTCAGTAGTCGATTGGCTCAGATGCTCGGCGGCTGCGAGAGCGTGGGCGCGGATCCCTGTGTATGTTGATGGTTTGCGCATGGGCAGGAGGCCCAGGTCCGTGAGCAGGGACTCGAGCAGCCCGGTACGAGAGTACAGCCAGTTGGTCAGCGTGGGGAAATGGATGGTGAACCAGGACAGCTTGCGGCGATCAGGGTCCAGGATGTCGTCCAGCAACGATCGATCCTGAGATGCAGTCAAGGCAGTAGTCGCTCCCGCCGACTTTCCATAGAGGAACTTGGTGATCGCATCAATGGAAAAGTAGTGTAGAGCTGCGAAAATCTCCAGGCTGCCGTCTTTGGCTTCCTTCTCGATCAGATCCATGAACTGTCTGGCTTTTTCCTCAATCATGGAGGCATTGTTGGGCGACAGCACCGACGTCTTGGAGTAGGCGTGGTTCAGTAACTTCTTCCGAGCTACCTGGCTTTAGAATAGAAGCCCACTCAAGGCAAGGAAACATACCTCGGTGGTCCTTGGATGAAGCAAAACTAAACATCACCTGCTTGCCATATGCATCGAACATGCGATAGAAGGTGTCTCGTTGAAAAACAGTGCCGGCACCGTAGATCGTACGCAGCGCAGAGAGGCTGTTGAACGAGACTTCATTCGGCCCAATACGGACGGCATCGCCATATCTATCGTGCAAGGTCTTCATATACCGAGTCCGGGTGCCACGGTAGTCTTCGTATGCAAGACGCCATTTTGTGATGGCAAACAGCTTAGGGCCGGGAATGGATCGGAGGGGCGATTGAAAGAGATTGATGAAGACTTTGCCAATGAGATATAGAAGGGAGAGAGACACTCCCAGTAGAAAGGACTTAACCATATAGCTCTCCATAGTCAGTGATTGTAATGGTTAGACCAAGTATCAGGAACATGACTCTGCTTTCTTATATCTACAGTTCTATCCGCCCCAATCACAGCGATAAATAAATCAGAACGGCAACCGTCAGCGAAAGCATGAAAGAGCGATAAGCGAAAGGACATGATAAGCGTTGAATTGTGCATCATGAAGCCATCAGGTAATATCAAACACGAAAAGGTAGGGATATCAGAATACATCAGACGATTTCCATTGACTAACAGATAGAGAGATACAGACTATCTCTCACATTGGCACAACCTTCAGCAGAATCTTTTCAAATCTTCCAACCGGCTTCTCCTCCAGCATCATCTCATACGCCTCGATCTCATTCTTGGCCTCTCCGAGTCCTAGATCCACTTCCATCGGCTTCAGATACTTGGTCTTCTTGAAGATTTTCCATCCCAGGAACATCACCACGTAGAACGCCAGCATCGAATAATTCAGGAAGAAATACTTGATGCTCCAATTGTTGGGCATGTCTACAAACACATCGAAGCCCAAGAGCAGCGTGAGAAGGACAGTGCTGGTGACTGCGATGTACGAGGTGTAGGGCTGGAATCTGCCCTTGTAGGGAAGCGTATTCCGGTCGACACCCTGAGCCTTCATCGCGCGGTAGAAGTGAATGTATGTCAGGCTCACGGAGAAGTGATTGAGTAGCTGATTTGCCGTAATGAGGATCACAAGGCTGCGTACTGTGAGTATAGATCCAGGAAAATGAGGAAAAGACAAGCATACTAGTTCATCACCTTGGCCGAGCTTTCCGAAACTTGCAAGAGAGCGAGAAGACAAACCGACAACGAGGCAAACAGAGCCCAGATCCTTTGGAAGTTAGCAAAATAGATCGAACGAGAATGAGAAGAAAGCACATACGGAATTCCGTTCTTCGTGCAATGAGCAAAGAACCGTGGCGCCTTGCCGTCCGTCGCCATGCCATGCAACGTCCGTGTCGCTGAAAAGAGCAGCGCATTTCCAGCACTGACCAGCGAGATCATGATTCCCGCGTTGACCACGCTGCCCAGTCCGGCAATCCCCAGATTCTGCATCGAGATCACGTACGGAGAGGCCGCGCCCGTCGAGATTCCTTCTCCGAGAAGACGCGCAAGTGTAGGGTCATTGTATGGCAGGACGATGCCGACGCAGAGAGCGCCTCCGACGAAGAAGAGCAGAACGCGGACGAGGAAGGTCTTGTAGGCGCGGCGGATGACTTTCCGGGGGTTATGGGTTTCGGCGGCAACCATGCTCAGATACTCCGGTCTATCAAGTCAGTCGCTGTCGCTGGCAAGCAGATGGTGTGAAACTCACCCGCAGAAAGTGAAGCCTGCCTGAACCATAGCCGCTATCACGCCGCAGAACTTGCCACTTGATCCGCTGACAAGATACTCGGCAAATGCCCCAGGCTGATTCCAATGTCTGAATCCGTAAGCGTCATGTTGGGGATTGCCGCCGACCATCGTGATGAAGGTGTAGAACGTGAGGCCGAGCGCGAGCAGGACTTTGAAGATTCCGATATAGAACTCTGCAGCGCCGAACCAACTGACGGAGACCACATTGAGAATGCTATACAGTTGTTAGTAGCCCGACATCACGGCGAATGAGAGAAACCAACAGGTAGATCACCATCATGATAACCACCACTGCAGCAGCCGGCATCACGTCCGTCCAATAGCCGATCATCAGACTCAAGGCGACGATCTCAAATGGAACGAGAAGGGCCCTATTTCATTGGTCAGCACTGCACCCGTTCCTACCATTATGGAGACAAACATGTTCAAGAAGTAATTCCAGCCCATGGCGAACCCTAATGCACCATCCACCCACTTCGAAGCAAAGGTGATGGTGGCACTGGGGACAGGCATATACGACACCATTTCCCCTACGACAGTGAGTTGATGCTTCACAGGGCAAGGATGAGTCTCCTACCGTAGCATTCATTGACACAGAGCACGCATGCACCCCAGATGGCAAATCCCAGAAAGAGGCCTGCCGGCCCCGCTTTGGGCAAAGCGGTTCCTATTGACACGAAGATGGCTGCAGAGGTTAGTAGACCACCTTCCCATGGACCACGGACAGGACCTACATGTGCCGATGGCAGCAGAGAGGGCAAAGAGTTGAACCTCCTTCACCCCAAGCTTCCGCTGCAGATGCTGGGATCCAGAGGCGAGCGAGTCGGAGACCCCCTGCTCCTGGTCCGTGATGACACTGCTACTGGTCGACTTGACATCTGGAGGACCTTTTTCGAGGACTCGAGAGGCAGACATGGTGAGAACAATGACTATCTTGAAAGTGTAATGGGCAAATGAAGTGGTTTGAAGGTTGCATCGTGAAATCTCGATGTAGATTTATAGTCCTTTTGTCTCGTAGGTAGTCAGTATACTCGTGGTTTGATAAGAGAAGTATAGAGTTCGGTCAGTGTCATTCGGCTCGCTGACTATTTCCATTATTATTCCTTCTTATCCTTATCTTCGAGGGATCTTGGCATGTCTGGTTTAGTCGGAGCGTGCGTGGGATTTGGTATCAACATATGTCATTCAAATAGCTACTCATATACAGGTTATTCATCGTTCTTGTTCGTTTAAAGTCGTAGGCTCTCTTCCTTAACCGCCACTCATGACCCGCCGGCCTCTCCTTCCCAACACAGCCTTCCATTTGGGGCCCCTGTCGTAGGGATTTTCGTCCTGCCACACTTCCTGCACTACATCCCATAACGTGTGAATACTCCCAATGCAATATCGCTGGACCCCGATCCACCAGGCTCGCCACAGTGGCCGCTCTTCCAGTTCGGCCTCGCATGCAGCGATAAACCCTGGCCAGACGATCGGGGCCATGGCATTCCAGCCAATCTGACTACCATGTGACGATTTGAGAGCCTCCGCAGCTAGCAAATTGGATACACAGATCTTGTTGTAGTGGCGCAGAACCGAGGCCGAGCGGACATGGGTGAGGGTGTGAAAATAGATAACCACTGCAGCGTGGAAAGCGAGGATGTGGCAGCTGACCAGCGAGAGAGTTTGGTAGTCACCGTCTGGAACAGAGGACAGAGGCTCGTCCGAGATGGACCAGGTGAGAAGGGCTCGATCTAGAGCGGCGCAGACTTCCTCGAGCGAGGGCGGAAGGGGAAGGTTATGAACCTCGTAATAGCAGAGATGTTGGGAGAGAAGAATGGCCAGGCTCATGTAGCTGGCTAACGTTGCGGTGGTGCCGTATGTGAATTCCAGACTGTGATTGTCGGGCAGAAAGGGAGATATCCGTAGTAGATGGTCAATTGAAACTGATGGATGCTCTCTCCATGGCTTAGGTTCCAGGTACGGGTTGGTGGATCGGGATAAGGTGCTCATGAACGAGCAGATGGTCAATAGCTGATCGTGTCGTGAGGAACAAAGCTGGCTGTTCTGTAGGGACAATCGCAGCTTTTCGCAGCCTTCGAGGTGGATCCAGAACTCGGTCATGCTGCCTTCCATGAGCTTATCAGTTAGTTAGAATTCCATAGTAGATCCTTGCATTTGCCTACATCGATCGACACCATGGAGAGCATGGCCGACATGGTCGTGTGGTAGTCCGCTGCACTTTCTCCCTCTGCAAGCGACTTTTGTAGACTCTCAACCGCTTTCAACCGATGTAATCGTCCCAGCCGCTGGTACCGTGGTATATCCGGTTGGTTTTGATGCATGTGAAATGCTGATACGGCCAGGAGAGCATGAAACAAGGCTGTGCCCCCCTGAGAGGAAGTCCCTCCTACTCCAACCACCCACCCGGACGCCGCAGCTTCCATCGCCCGGGGCACATAGATGGAACGGTATGGGTTCTGCGTGTGGCGCGCGGGCTGCAAAAGGTCGGCGACGACATGTATATAGTTGTCCATCAACTCGGCGACATCGGTGTCGATATACAGGGACATTTCGGGAGCGATCGTCGTCAGCTCCAGCCCCAGAGTTTCATTTGGCATCCCTGCAATATCGGGCTCACTAGATCCTTCGTTCGATGAACTCGGCATGTCATATTCATCTACCGTGAAGGCTGAAAACGCCCCGATGGTCCCTGCGCCGGCTTCACCCACGATCGCGTCCAGTTTCCCGAGCATGTCGTCGACCTCGACCAGGTCAATCTCCTGCGGTAGCCGGGGATCTTGGATCAGCATCGCTTTCCTTTTCACCGTACATGGTCGCTCACGGCCCTCGTCCATCCAGTACAGGTCGACATCATATCCTTCGCAGGACTCTCCGCACCGCGCACATTGTGGCCGATGATTGTCGCATTTGACCTTGCGACGACGACAAGTCCAGCATCTGCGAGTCTTTGTTAGTCATGGAAACCAATTTCAATTAATCATAAGATGGCCAAGCCTACCCAGCAAAAGTCTTGGTTTTGGCTACTTTACGGTGTAAGCGGGGCGGCATGGTTTATTCTGCAGCAGTGATTGTCATTATTTTTATCATTGATTCAGATGTATGGAGTGAGTCAGTGGAGAAGAAACGGTGCAGTAGTCATGATATGGGGGGAAAGCGAGCAGGTGTCAGCGATTATAGAGTCGTCCTCCGGGATCGGACCTCTTGAATCATGCATGATAAGAATTGATACTGATACATACTGTAGATATCATTATTCTTTCGGCTAGAAGCCTAGAAGACTAGTAGAGGCACTAGTTAGAGTCTAGCAGCTGTCAGCGAGATCTTATCGTGCAGTGATGGGGAATCAGCTCTATACACGAATATTGGAGACAGAAAAAAGGCATATATAATGGATTCTAACCAGGATTTGGAGACCTGTTCTTATCATCTTTCATTGACACCTACATCGCCATCATGAAGTTCTCTACATCGTCCCTCCTGCTGGCTTTGAGCCCGGCTGCCTACTCCTTGAACCTCGGGCCCGACTACCAGCATCCTATTGAGGGTATGTCGTGCAAGAACAAAAAAAGAAAATAGTTGATTGAATTGCTAACACACAAGTTAGACCTCGATAAAGACCTCCCTTTCTCCCAGCCCGTCACATTTGCCCACCTGGAATGGCAACGCTGTCTAGCCTCCTCACACAATACAGTATGGCTCTCCGATCTGATATTGCCCAGCCGAGCCCATCACTAATGAGCAGCCCCTCGATATTGCCATCTTGGGCTTCCCCTACGATACCAGCACCTCTTACCGTCCCGGCGCTCGCTTCGGACCTCGAGGCATTCGCGCTGGATCCTCCCGCGAGAAGAAGGGACGCAGCTACAACACTGTCTGGGGCGTGGATCCCTTCGAGGAAGAGCTGAGCATCGTCGACTGCGGTGATATTCCCATCACCCCATTCGACGCGGCGCATGCCTTCAAGCAGATGGAACAAGGATATCGACAGGTGCTGTACCATGAGACCAATGTTACCGAGGGATGGAAGCATCCCCGCATCATCAGTTTGGGTGGAGATCACTCGATCGTCCTGCCGATCCTGCGGTCGCTGAAGACGGTGTACGGCCCCATCTCGGTTATTCACCTTGACTCGCATCTCGATACATGGGATCCGTATGAGGGATACACCGGCATTGCGTCTGAGCAGTCGGCTATCACCCACGGAACCTTCTTCTGGCATGCCGCGCGGGAAGGATGTATCAACAAAGGGGCCAGTGTGCATGGTGGCCTGCGCACCAAGCTGTTTAGTCCCAAGGACTACGAGATCGATGAGCAAGTGGTCGGATTCCATCGCATTGAGGCGCATGAGATCGACATCATCGGCGTGGAAGGGATCATCAAGCGCACAGTTGACGTGGTCGGAGATAACCCGGTCTATCTCTCCATTGATATTGACGGTACGTCTCAGGTGGCCCTTCCTTCGACTGCAATACTGACCGTGGCCAGTTCTTGATCCAAGCATCGCTCCTGCTACAGGAACCCCCGAGTCCGGCGGTTGGACCACGCGCGAGCTGAAGCGCTATATCAAGGGACTGGAGAACCTGAACCTGGTCGGCGCAGATGTCGTCGAAGTCAGCCCTCCCTATGACTCGACAGCTGAGACCACTTCTGTCGCAGCCGCGGATCTCATCATTGATATCCTGGCGGCCATGGCGAAGAACAAGAAGGGGCTCCCTGCTGCGGGCGTGAAGACGGCAGTCAAGGATGAACTGTAATAGATTAAATGGAAAATATCTCAGAGACCGCACGACTTTTGATATAGAGTTGTATAATGTTCGATCGAACCGCTCTAGCTTCATAGGCATATAACATCATGCTTCCACCCCAATTTCCCCATTCTGGTCCCTCAATCGCCCTGTTGTACGGAATGAAATTGCTTGTTTTGAGTTAGTAATGCTGGTAGCCAGAATGCGTGACCACTTACCACCCAAAATGGATTCTCGTAGAGACTTTCTGCCAGGTTTCTCTAGAGGCGCATTTCTTAATCTTGTCGATTGGAATTTGTGCATATTCTGCTTCACCAAAGCTTTGTCGGATTGCCGACGTTTGGGAGGAGGAGGGGGAATAGCCAGATGCATGTCAGACGCAGTTCAAGTATGGATTATATGCTGGTCGGAATTAAAGGGCTCTTCCTGCCCATTTGCATACTGCCTACTTATATAGATCGCTCTGAATATCATGAATTCATATCATTTCAAACACGGCAACAGTCAGCGAGCCAGAGGAGTGGGGTTCTACCTTCCACGTCGAAAGAGCTCGAGGATTTGAATCATCCTTCTGCCCTTCGTCCGGGAGAAAAGGTGTATCTCGGAGGCTATCACTACATTGTGCGAGCGTTTGAGACTCTATAAAGCCAGATGGGTAGTGCATATATACTCAGGCGAAACAGAACTAGGCAACATCATGAATGCAGCGATGAATGAATGAACGAATAATAATGCGATAACTATCAGGAGACTGCTTGAAGGCTCTACACATGCTGTAGTTCCCTCAGAGCTGCCCATTCCCTTTTCAGAATCCCCATAACAAGCGATCCAAAAAGTGATTCTCCCTCATGCGTCCCTCCACCACAAACCCCACTTTCTGGTAGACCCTCAACGCTCTCTTGTTAAAGGAAAACGCCTCCAGCGCAACCCGATGCAGATTCGCGCGTCGGAAGGCGAAATCCAGGGCAAAATTCATCGCCTCGGTGCCGTGGCCTTTGTTGCGGTAGGGTTCGGCCAGCGAGATAGCTAGAAACGCATCGCGATGAATGCCGAGCGCTTCGGGATGCAGATCAAACAAGGCTACAAAGCCTATAGGGGTACCTTTGCTGGATGATGCTTGCGATGGTTGGTGGTCGGAGGATTCGATATTGGATTGTTCCGCTGTCGGTAGACAAATGATCGCCCCAAGGATATTGGTAGGGAAAACCCGCATATATTCTCTAACTGACTTGGCTGTTTGAGGCCGAATAATTGCCTTTGAGGATAGCCCCAAGTAGACAGGGTCAGAGCGAAGGCTGATCATAAAAGCGAGGTCTTCGTCGTTGTCTTCGACGGCTCGATAAACAAGGTTCTTGGACCTCCAAGCATCGCGAAGTGTATCCATCATGCAGGATGTCACTTTTGTGAAGATTGGCTACTACTACTAAGTAGAAAGGGAGAATACAATTTTAAAAGACATCCGTGTTGAGAAACCAACTGCTCTTCTCGTCAGCCTGATGTCCTTATTCTGACTTGGACAAATCACCAGCGAGGACCGTCCTGATCGGCGTCCTGATCGGCGTCCAGAGAGAGTTTAGCGGGCTTGCAAGGAGAACAGAGAAAGAGAATCTGCTGGCATGTTCTATATAGCTAGTTGGTCATGATTTACATCCCTGAGATGAGGCTACTATCCATCCGACCTGCTATCGCCTCGACCTCTCGACCAGAAACCTGGTAGTAATTCCCCATGATCAATCCAACCTCCGAATTTGTCACAAAGCAGTCTGCCTGTATACCATCCCTCCTGTTTATCCCCTTCGAGTAGCTAGTGTCACTTAGGTGGGGGGCTTTCCCCTGCGCCAGTAATTCCAGCATCTCGCCGTATCTCCGGCCCTCCGCAGATTCGACACCTACTTCCATGGCTTGGTTAAGGTAATGAGTGGCCAGAAGCTGAGAGACAACCCGCAGCACAGCAGCCATCTCCCCCTCCGATCGATTTCCGCGATAGGTGTTGATGAGCCTTTCCCAGATTCGCGCAGCGCGTCCCGCATCATTTTCATAGATCTGGAGAAAGACACCCCTACAAAGTTCGAGATTGGCAGCCTGGACGGTTTGGCTTTTGGAGTAAGCCACAATTGCAACATCTGCATACGCAGTAATCACGTAGGCTGTGCTGGCAGTGTGATATGCCGCGGCTGAGAACCATTGAGTAAAGGAATCCGGTAAGTCGACATTGGTTATCAGGCACTCCGATAGACGTGTGCAGTTCGTCTCTGGGATCTCTTGCTCGCTCATCTCCTGCAGCATATCTGCCATAGGGGCTGATTATTTCTGAGTGACATGCTTGGGTTTCTATCTAGGTGCTGGCTGTGCGATGCTCACCTAAGGGACCATTCTGGCCAACCGGTTGAGTCACTTTCCGAATGTTCACGGACCGGGCATCACCCTTGACACAGCCTACTCCAGTGGCTTGGTAGGCCTAAACCTCGCCTGTCAGGCTCTGCGATCAGGCGCAATTGATATGGGGATTGTGGCTGCTGCCAATGTGTACATGAGTCTGGAACACCTGATCGATGCTGGCGGAGTTGGAGGAGCACACCCGCCTACGGCTCCATGCCATACTCTCGATGCCGCTGCTGACGGTTACGTCAAGGCTGAGGCGGTAAACACAGCCATCGTTAAGAGATTGTCGGATGCCATCCGTGATGCGGACCCTATTCGTGCTGTGGTTCTCGGTACGCCTTCGAGCCACAACGGAAGGACGATGGGCATTGCCAGCCCAACGCGGATGCTCAAACGATGGCCATTCGAGCGGCTTACGCGAACGCTGGTATCACGGACTTCAACAAGACTGCCTTCTTTGAGTTCCACGGCACAGCAACGCAAGCCGGTGACGCCGCAGAAAGTGAGGGAGTTGCATCGGTCTTCTCTGCGACCCGAGCTGCCGAAAGTCTGTTGAACATAGGATCTGTAAAGAGCAATGTCGGTCATTTGAGCATGAAATCTACCCAGATAAACTAACATAAGTGAGTGATGGCGCAAGCATGGTGGTTCTCAAAAGCGACCCTGCTTTTTTGTAGATACTTTTATTCGGATCTTGTTCATGCTACTATTGTACCTCATCGTACCTCAATACTACAACACTATTGGCAACGGAAAGGAGTCGCAAATATGGTGACCGGCTGGATTGCCATAAGATAGCCTCTAACAGTTAGAGTCTGGGGAGCGTTCTTAACTACTTGGTAGCTACAGCAGTGTCTGGCAGCAGCTCTTCAAGTCTTGAATATAACTCCATATATTTTGTTTCACTCCGCTGATCGATTAAGCACAAATACACCTCTATAAATTGAAACAACTACCCCATATTCATCATCCGACCAGCTTTGATCAGCCCCCAGATGGGAATTGAGACACTCCATGCCCATACACCCGTACGCAAGTAGCTCACGGCTTCCGACTTGGTCCCCATATACAATGCTGTGTATAGGAGACGCGCACCAACGTATTCCAAGGAGAGGGTGTTCAGTTCGTTCGAGGGGAGTTTGGCAAGATTTCCGGCGAGCTACTTGATTAGTGAGAGGTTGTCAAAATACCACTTAGCATGGAAACTCACCATAGCCGCAGCAAATATAGGTAATCCCTCCATGGCATTGAGGTGTGCACAATGAGCCTTGACGAGTTTCTGCCACACCTGTACGGGGATCTTTCCTTTCAAATTGGCCAGGTTCTCCCTTGGTCTGTCATAAATCAGCCCTTTTCGGTTCCGCATCTGAGGTTATGGTAGGGGGTGCCATACAGAACGTTGGTAACATGCTCTTTGGCGTTTGCCATCATTTTGGCATAGTAGTAGGCTTGGGGGAAAAGGCCAACGGCATATGCCGCAGCAATAGAATGAAGAGAGTAGTTGTTTCCGGACATGATCATTAACTTGATATGTTTTGTTCTTGCTTTTTGCAATATCGCAGAGAAGTAGAGGTCAAATGAGAGTACTCCATTATTGATCCCAGCAGTTGGACACGCTTTATATCCTCGACACCATCACCTCACCACGATTCAGCATAACGTTGGCTATTTTTGAATATCATCTTGCCCACTCCTGTCTCGATCTTCAATACGAGGTTCAATTAGATTTTCACCCAATCATTGACAGACTGTTTGAAGATGCTCGTGTTTGCGGACAACTGCCACGCACCTTTGTCTCTCCCTTTCACTGTGTTTTCCTGCCAAGGCCTCCTAGCGAGTGCGTGGATATAAGCATAACGTTATGGTCCCCGCCCCCTCTGATCTTGGGAGTCATCTCGCCAACATCTTCTCTCCTTCTCTTTCATCCATTTACTCGACTCATCTGGCTGCTCCTCTAAGCACTTACTTTAATTGGTCCATTGAAGATGCCGCCTAAGCGGAGTCGTGATGTCCCCGCCATTCCAGACATCACAGAGGACCCGGTGGAGCGAAAGCGGGTGTTGAGCATGCTAGCTCAAAGGCGTTATCGTGCGTGCCCTGTTTCAATCGCGGAGGGTTCTCTGCTAATTTCTACAGGGGAGCGAAAGAGAAAGCAATGGGACGCGTTACAGGCTCAAGTGGATAGGCGCAAGGACTCGAACAATGGCTATACTGAAACCAGGAATTCCTTGGCCACTCCAGAGGATGCTCATACGACACTAAACACTTCAGGCTCTTTGGCGACTGACTTCCCGGTTGCAATGGATCGTCTTCCTTTGGATTGCGGTGGCCTTGGAGATTACTGTCCTGATCTCATGGTCGAGACAGTCGGCCGGACGTCTCTAGAAATTCCCGTGGTAGCACCCAGCATGGACCTTCTTCCTGACTCCTTATCCCCCAGTCAGCTCTTGGCACTCTCTCAGTCTGGTCAATTCCCATCAGTCGCTACACAAGACATGTCTCTATTTGCTTTCCCTGCCTCACAGGGCCCGTTTTTGACATCCTCCCTGCCAGACCTGATACTTCCCTACCAACCGGAGGGAAACATCCCGCACATGTTGCAGCTGGCCAACGTGTCTGAGAATAACTCGAGTCTGTCAGAGCAGCTTCAAGAATACCAAACGTCGACCTTCTCCTTTCCAGACGACCATCACCTCGAGATTCCATCACTCAAGCTCCTCAATGCTGCGATGAAGGTTGCAGAGCGGTTGAACATGGCTGAAATGTTGTGGGATCTCTCCGCAGTGAGTCCATTCTACAGAGCTGCCACAGGCCCGCATTCAGTCTCCACACCCCCGTCTCTGGTGTCTAGTTCCTCCTCCCCATCTTCAATTACGTCCCACACAGATGATCATGGTGGAGACACAATCGAACTCCCCCGTCACCTCCAGCCGACCACTTCCCAGCGTTTCATTCCCCATCATCCCATCTTGGATCTCATTCCCTGGCCCAATACCCGGGACAAGCTCATCCAGGTATTCAATCTACCACCGGCGATGCGTCCAAAACCTGCCCAGGACCCCATCGGCCTTCTGCGACTCGTATATGATATGGAGGATGTTGGGGGAGAAGGGATCAGAGTCCAGGGAGGTGATGCGTTTACAGTAAACGCCTGGGAGATTGGACAAACAATATTCGAGCGGTGGTGGTGGGCTTTTGACCGGGACATTGTGGAACGAAGTGATTATGCAAGAAGTCTGAGGGGGGAGAAACCGTTGAGAATAGGGGAGTCAGAGCCTACAGTTTGATGGGATAATGTGGCCCTTATTATTATACCTCGATGGCCCTCCATTGCCACTTGTAATGGAGATGGATGCAAGATGCGTAACTGTATAACTGTATAACTGTATAACTGTATAACTGTATAACTGTATAACTGTATAACGTTATCATGACTAATCCCCCTATCCCATTCAGATTTCATCCAGCCGTAGACTGTAGTCTACTCCGTATACAGAAGTCTCACTTCTACAGAGTCCAATTAAGTTCACGCTCCGTTGCCTGTTTTCTCTAGAATACGTAAGCTTTTCTCCCCATTTCTTCACCCTCGTGTTGTGTACTGTGTTGCCCCTAAGCAGTATTTACACCCACTCTCTCTCTACGAAGCAGTTGCCAAGTATCTATCTAGTAACCGCATACTATAACTCACTCATCATTTGGCTTCGGGATCACATCCTCATTACGAATCTCTACAATGATTACTTCCCGGCTTCTCATGACCCTGGCTGCTGCCAGCATGGTCTCCGCTCAGGCCACTGTCACCTCCATGTTTATTTTCGGTGCTGATCCGCAATCTCTGGTCGCTTCCATCGCGGGCAATGTAAGTTGATTGTTTCCTAAATGATGTTGCAACTCCAAAGCCGACGGGTTCCAGGATGCCACCGCGACAACATACGTCGTCAACTGCCCTCCTGGCACCGATGGTAGTGACTGCGGGATGGGTCCCGGACTGACCCTCGTTGCCGGTCCGACGACCTCCGTGTTCATGATGGACGAGCCGACGGAGAATTTGTAGGTTTTGGGACTTAATCGCAGCCCGGTATATCAGTCTAACTTGCTACAGCCATTGGACTGTCACCTGCTCTGTCGGTGGAACGACCACTGCTGTCTGCACTGAAACGGCCAGCGGTACTGGGGCCAATTTCCCTGGTACCAGTGCTACGACTTATTCGGATGACTTGCCTCTGTTGAAGGTGACTATCACTGCTGGGTCTGTTACAGGTACGGTGGGATCTTCTGCATCGAGTTCTGCTACCGATACCGCTGCCATGGCCACAGCCACGGCTACAGCTACAGCCACGGCTACGGGCACCACTACAACTACAAACAAGCCCTCTTCTACAGAGTCTTCATCGAATACTTCGCATAGCTCGTCGGCTGTGAGTACGGGAGGAATGCCAAAGGTGACCGGCACTGCTGGAACTGGAGTTCTCTTGGGAGCTGCGGCGATGGCTCTGGGCATTGCTGCTCTGTGATATATTATTATTGCGGTTGCAGGTTTGTATAGAACTTGTGTTAATAGGTAGATGCTGTTGATTGCTTGTCCACTTGGTTGAAAAGCATGGTTGAACATGCTTATAAATCAGGCATTATTGATTGAGTAAAAGTCTGCAATGGCCGACTGAGAGAATCTGGATTGATGAAAATTTGAGCATGGTTGGTTGATCAGTGAGTACTGAGTAGTGTTATTATTGACACTTTGATTGAGAAAACAAAAAGTATCATAGAGGCAAGCGGAGGGACAAAGAAAGGAAACAAAAAAAAGGGGGGGGCGAAAAGGGCAGGACAAAAACAGCGGGAAAGAACTTGGGAGGAAGGAAAAATGACAAAAAAGAATTAGCGAAGCCCTACGTGGGGGTCGAACCCACAACCTTCAGATTAGAAGTCTGACGCGCTACCATTGCGCCAGCAGGGCTGCTGATATATTAGCGACAACCAACTTATTATCTATAAGCAACTATTATTTTTATTTCTTCCCATGTCCAGCGTATGCTTTTCCCTTGTCCTCATCCTTCACTGGTCGCAGGACTCGCATGCAACATTCTTTATAACTGCTTCTAGAGGTTTATTATGGGTTCTAGATGATCACAGAGTACTATATAATTGTGTTCTGTATCAGTCTTGCTCAGGAACGGGAGCATGAAGAGCATATGTCGAGTCCCCTTAGAGAAGGTATATATATATTCTGGGGTCGACGCCACCCCGTATACTCGTGCGTCTAAATTCGTCAATTACACGTGCTGACAATCAACGTATAGGATAGAGGCCGAGCTCATCATCCAAGCTATGCACCCCCCCGTATGCCTCCGGGATATGGCCATATAAATGCATGCTTCTCGCCCCCAAAATTTGAGATTACAATTGCTTATGATACAAGCTCACTGGCTGCTGAACGTCTGAATCTCAGCCCACCGAGGCCAAGTGGACATCGCCCCGTGAGTGCCTCCATACCTATCCGGCACATCGTGCAATTGATCGTCAGGGAGGGTTCGGAAGTTAATGCCCGCTTGTGAAATCAATCCGATTATGGCGCTACGTGGAACTTTGGAACGAAGTTGAATTCTCAGTCGGAGATGACACGATCACGTGACAAAACCATCCTCCGATCAAGTCGGTATTCTGTTCTGCTTTGCTTTCTCGGGTCTCTAAAAATGTGAATTGGCTTCTTGACGGTTCGGCCTTTCATCTCTAAATGATCGAAAACTGTAATCCAGGCTTTTCTGTCCTCCATCTCGGGAGTAGCATACCTTCCGAGCATCACATCGTGCGAGCCCACAGAGAGATTCGGCTGGCTTTTCCCCAGTAATGAACAAAACCACACCACACGGCCCAGAGAGCTTCAATCAGCAGTGCGATAAGGCATCGCAAGTTGAACTGATACAGTAATTCAAGCATCCGGATGACAGTATATCCTACAGTTCCTAGGACTTTATTCATACCACTGCATATATCGCCGAGTCGATCATCAGCTGGGAATCACTGTCGACTCCATCATGGAATCACCGCGGGCGACTCCCGCCCGACTCTTCAAGGCATGTCGCTGGTGTCGAAAGCAGAAAATGCGCTGTGATGCGCGCCATCGGATGCCCTGCTCCCGGTGCCAGAGTACGGGCCATGATTGCGTGGTGGACGCAATTGACACAGGCCGTCATGAGCGGAGAAAGCAGAACAGGAGCCAAACACGGTGAGAACCCAATGAAAGATGTGACCAAGCAAGAGAAAGTCTAAAGCCTGCCCAGATTTAATCCTCTATCGCCCTCTAACCGTAGTCTCTCGTCGGTGGGCAGTCATCCTCCGCGTGGATCAGCCAGCCAATCCAGCCTGGAGATCCAGCATTTCACGTCCCAGGATATGATGGCCCCCCAATCAGCGATGCACTCAATGTCGGTGAATCTAGGGGGATCCAACGAGCAGATCTTCATGGGTGAATCGGAGCATGACGATCCCACCCGAGATATCATCGCCAGGGGCATCATTACGGAAGAGCAAGCTCGAGGTATTTATGAACGGTATGGAGTACTCCGCATCGAAATCAGAATAGAACTAACCCATAGAACAGATTTATGAGTGGAAGCAAGAACTTCCTACCCCTGTTCGATCCGGTCCGAGACACATACGACTCAATTCGCTCACGATCACTGTTCTGTTTCACCGTCCTAATCTATCTCGCCAGCCGAGCTGTTCCAGATCTCCGCAGCAATAATCATCTGCAGCGGGTGCTACAAGATGAAGCACAGCGATTGGCCGAAGATAGTTTTTTCGAACGACCTACCAAGCTGGAAACCGTCCAGGGCATGATACTGTTGGCCGCCTATTCGGAAAAATCCTGGTTCTCGACAGCTCTCATTCTTCGCACAGCACTGGATTCGGGACTCGAAAAGTCGCTGGACACACTACTGGCCCAAACAACGCCACCGCGAAGTTACTTATCAGCTACGATTGAAGATCGGGAGTTGGTCTGGAAGACAAGGACGTGGCTGATCACATATACGACGGAGCTGGATATTGCGGCCGGTACAGGCAGGAAATCGCGTGTCAATCAGTTGAATATCAACACACTACGGAAGTTCCTGGACTACCCTCTGTCGATGCCTAGTGATATGAGGACCGTTTGTGTGATTGAGATACATCAACTCCGAGGTCAAGACTCCCCACTTATATATATGGATGCATACATGGCAGGCTAATATGTTGCAGCACAAGCACGACAAATCATTGATAGCACCACCGCCGCTCAGTTATTGTCAACGGAACTACCCGCCATCATGGGCCGCTTGCAAGAGTGGTGGGATACGTGGGACAGTATACATGACCGTATGCGCCCGAAAATCTTGTGAAATGACATTGTGCTGACCGAGTAGAAAACGGATTCCACGCTGGGGCTTTCCAACGGTCGAGCTTGAAGTACATGCTCAACTACGCCCGCGTCTTCGTTCTCTGTGCTTCCATTGCGCGGATCCAGAAAAGGCCATCGTCGGATGTTCTCCCGGGCCCAGAATCCGGTGCTGTGCTCGCACTGTGGAAGTCACTAGTCGAGGTCATAACAAATCAAATGACGTTGTTGGTCAACGAGGCTGCATACCGGTGCCAGCTCACCTGGTCTCCGACGTATCCGGCGCTCACTATTGCCTTTATTAGTAAGACTTTCTCGTGTATCTTTTGGTAGCTTGGTATTGACCGAGTCAGCGACATTTGCAGTTCGAGTGGCACGATGGCATCCCGCCTTGATAGATCAAAGCCTGGTCCTGCAACGAGCGCAGCAGATTTGCGAGATACTTAAGCAGCCGCCTTATCCAGACATACATCGCACCGTATCCATTTTTGCCAACTATGCCAGCGCACTTTTTGCGGATCGAAGTGCTGCCTCGAACACCAGCGCTACAGTCACTTCGAATGACGCGGATGCTCTATTGTACCCCACACAACCCACGAATGACTCGAGGCCTGAATTTGACCTAGTCACCATGCCGCATGACCAAGTCCCGGAGCAATCATCTCAGAGAAATGCACAGACCCATGGAGAATCCTTATCAGAGGAGACTCGACTTGCAGAACCCCGGTCTGATCCTCCACTCGCGCGACTACTGGGTGAAATGAACATACCTAATTGGACCCTGTCGACCTCCATCGCCGACTCCTTCGATCTCTTTGAGGAAGGACAATCGGATGTGTTTGATTTCCTGCCTGCAATGCCGTCAATGACCTAGCACGCTTTGACCAAGATGTTTCCGTAATGTGATAAGTCCTAGATTTTCATCGCAACCGCAATCAGGTAGTCTAGATCTGCTCGGTTGACCGTTGCACCGGCTGCACATGAAACCGCGCAGCAAACCCTGTATCAATCTTGGGTATCGATCCTGGGTAATTCCCCAATTTACTCCAGATTCTCCACTCAAACCTGCTTCCAACACTCGGCGCCGGCCGATGTGGACCGGATCCTGATCGGCGCCGTAGCAAATTTCTGCATCTCCGCCGGGGCCGGTCCGGCGCCGGACTTAGTGCTGGGAGCTTGGAGACCCATGGAAGACGGATATGCTTATGATTGGCGAAATCAGCTTGATATCTCGATTCAGTGGTGAAGAAATAGTTACGCATGCGTTGTCTCGACACATCGATTCATTTTGATGAGTCAATTGTTCTGGGGGACTTCCGGACCATGAATCAATCCCTTCCATTTAAGTGCAGCGGATGGCGTCAAGTCATGGACAGACCAGGACATCCCCGACATCAGAATCTTTCAGCTGGAATGTTCAGCCCGAAACGTATTCAACATGGCACAAGAGAAGGATAAAGCAAGTCCGGTTCAGACAGTGTATACCGCAACGGGTTGGTCATCCCGCAATCCACCCTCGAGCTATGCAGACACTGACGGCATCAGCTACACTCGGGCCTCTTCGAGGACACTCGTTATCGCAAAGCGAATTCATTTCTCCGAATCACTGGCCATTACACAAGAAACTGGTGATCGTCGTTGTCACCTTCCTCGCTGTGATCAACTCCGGCATCGGGACCTCGCTGCCGAGCAATGCTGTCCCTTATCTTATGCGCGACTTCCACGTGGAAGACGAGGCGCAAAGCAGCTTGCCGACGGCAATATTTCTGGTCGGTTACATCGTGGGGCCACTCGTGTTCAGTCCCTTGAGCGAGACAATAGGGCGCCGGCTGGTGCTCTTTCCGACTTTTACTGTGTTTCTACTGTCGACGGTGGGATGTGCCTTGAGTTCGAGCTGGGGGCTGTTCCTCTTCTTTCGCTTTCTTTGTGGAACCATGGGAGCTGCGCCTCAGACGGTCGTGGGGGGCATTTACGCCGATATGTTCTTTGATTTGAGAGAAAGAGGACGGGTGATGGCTTTCTACATGGCAGTATGTTACTTCTACAACCGATCGTTTGGTCACTGTACTGACCGATGGGCCTAGTCAGCAAGTTTCGGTCCAATTCTTGGTCCTATAATCTCCGGATTTGCATCGCCTGCGTATGGCTGGAGGTGGACATTTTGGATTGCTTCGATGGTGGCGGGTTTTGCCTGGCTTGGCCTTATTTTTGTGCCCGAGACCTTTGGCCCGGTGCTAGAGAGACGCAACTCGACCATGAAAGAAGGCGAGGTTGAAAAGAAGACAGTCAATGTTTTCCAAATCCTCCAGCGACCACTGGCAATGATGCTTTTTGAGCCCATCATTACTTTTACTTCGATATACATTGCGTTAGCATATGGTCTCGTCTTCTTCTACATTCAGGCGTATCCAATTATCTTCCAGGGTATGTTGCTCCCGTATCACAGGGCGAATTTCATGGATTCTGAACCAAGCAGGTGTTTACGGATTCGATATACAGATGACGTCTCTCGCGTTTCTCCCTGGTAAAGTCTACGCTTTCCTCGACCTTGACCAAAGCTAATGGCAGCAGTTGGAGTGGGTGCAGTATCCACTGGGCTCGTCGCTCTTTATTGGGATATGACCTACGATAAAGCCAAGAAACACAACAAGCCATGGCACTTCGGTGCGGAATTGCACCGGCTTCCCGTCTCCTGTCTGGGCGCCATCCTTCTCACGGCAAGTCTGTTCTGGCTCGCCTGGACGTCTCGCAAGGAAATTCACTGGGCGGTCCCCATCGCCTCCGGGCTGGTGTTCGGCTTCGGATACCAGGCTATTTTTGTGTCATTGCTGACCTACGTTACCGATGCCTACAAAATCTATTCTGCCAGTGCGTTGGCCAGCTCGGTGATAATGCGGAGCACATTGGGAGCGCTGCTACCACTGGCCGTGAAGCCAATGTACAACACTCTGGGTGTGAGCTGGGCGACATCAACGTTAGGGTTCTTGAGTCTGGCGTGTGTGCCTATTCCCTTTGTGCTGCTATACAAGGGGGCCTGGGTAAGAGGAAGAAGCAAGCTTTGTCAACAGCTGATGAAGCACGAATGGTCCGAGGAGCCGTCGGATATAGAGCAGACGAGGCCGCGAGTCTAGCTCATTTAGTGTGAAGCTTTACGATTGATGAAAATAGACTAGTAATACTACCCCATAGACATCAAAGAACTTCTTGAATGAGAGTGACATCTTCATTGGTACCGTCATGCAACCAGCTGGAAGCTCTCATTGAGCCATAACGACCACAGGTAAAATGGCTCAAAGGCCTAGACATTCCGTTTAAATAGATTGACTAAGCCAGCTCACACTCGATCAGGCTTTCCACACCCCTACGGGCCATCCAAATCTTGGTGATCTTCAGTCCAGCTGCGTTCACCAACCTGTGCCAGTTATTTTCCGTTCGCTCCTGCGAGGCAAAATTGGCCATCATGATCATATCCAAACTTGTCGTTTCCCAGTACGCGTTTGTGCTAGGAATCACGTTTTCATTGATTAGCACCTTGCTGTAACCTGGCTTCATGGCAGGAACGACATTGCGGAGGATCTTAAGGGCGTCTTCGTCCGCCCAGTCGTGCAGGACTGAGTGCATATAATATGCGCGAGCGCCTAGACTATATTAGCAAGATATCTATCCGTGAAAACGTCAGGTATGACGAACCCTTGACCGGTTGCTCAGTGAAGAAATCGTGCACTGTTGGCTCAATTGTCGAATGAAGCTGGAGAGTCTTGGTCTGGCTGATCACGTCCGGCAGATCCTGGATGATCAATCGACCCGGGAGATCGGGCCACTTGCGACGGAGCTCGCTCAGATCGTGACCCAATGAGCCTCCCATATCCACAATCAATACATCATTGTCGGCAACACCTTCAGCGAGCGAGGGGACCGGGTAGAAGCCAAAGTCCATCCAGCTGGGCCGGCCCTGGTGGTAGACGGACATGTGGTTATTAAAGTTGACGGCATGCTTTGGGTTCTCCTTGAGAAAGTCGAAAAAGTGAAGACTGGTCTGGAATCCTTCTTGGAAGCCGCAGTTTCTTCCATCGCGGGGGTTCTGGTATTTGGTCTTCTGAAGGTGGGCCGGGAAAGCAAGAATGCCTTTGGTGATACAGCCTGTCCTGTTGGAGGGTTAGGAGGTATAATATTCTTGGATCTTCTCAAGGATTCATCTACTGACATGCAAGGGAACGCGCCGCTGTACCGGGAGGAGCTCAAGGCGGTTGAAAAGCCAGTTCGGCGATATTCGTCCGGTCCGGTTTCCTTGACGACGCCCATTGAGCTGAGATGCTTCAAGACACGAGCTGGTCTCATGAGCAAAGGCAATACCAGTTATCTTGTGGTTTTATGAAACTCACCCAGCATGACCGGATCGGCACCGACTGTCTTGGCCAGATCGGCAGCATTCTTGGGCTTATCATCCTCCGATAGCACGGTAAACAGTCCTAGGTCGACAGCGGTTTCGATGGCGGCATAAATGGTGCTCTATAAGAACAGTCCTTTAGCTGGGTTAAGCGTACTTGGATTGAGCAGACTAACCTGGGACCAGCAATAACGGATAGTGGCCTCCCGAGGCGTCTCTAGGGCATAGACCAAGGAGCGTGCAGTATCCAATAAATCTGTTCGAACCTGCTCACTCTGAGCAATATTGAAGGACTTGCCATACGACACAACCTTTTCTAATAAGGCAGGAACTTCGTGAGCCGCGTTAGGAGAGATGGCGATCTGATCATCGACAAAAGCCTCCTTTTGTACGCCATTGGATGTGCCATTGGTAAGATTCTCGGCATGCGAAGCCCCGTTCATGTGAGGCATGGTGCGGAAAATTGATGTGTCACTTGCAGAAAAAATAAAGCAATATGAGAAGTGATAGATGGTAGCAACAACGATGCAAAGATTCGAGTTTGAGAAAGATGCACGGGCAGGGCCCCTGATATATGGCCCCTGATTGGGGAATACCCTGAACCTTGGCCTTTGGACCTCATTGGTTTTATTTCTTGGTGAAGAATGGGTCAAAGACTGCGTTTGACTGGTAGGCTGGTAGGGAGAAACTTCAGTCCAGTTGGGGCATTGTATGACTCCATGACAGAGGCATTTAAGTAGCGACAGCAGCGTTAGGATGATTTACCGCTTGGGTATTGCGTCCAACCCGACCCTGCCGTCCAGATTCGTGGAGCAATTCAAACCAAGAGCGTGGCGGGAGGACACCGAGTCTGGTTCTTCTGATACTAGGCGAACGTGAAACCTATAGACAGGAGCACAAGGTGGCAAGCAGAAGCTGTCAAATCCTGGGACACGGTTATTACTACTCCGTATTAGTCAATTAGTTACAGGGGTTGTTCATGCTGGCTGTGATGGGCTGATGGCAGAAGGACTGCATGTTACCCGACTAGGAAATGCAGTACCTATTAGTAGCAATGCCTGGGCCCGAATAAAGACAAGGATGATCATGTCATTTCCTTTGTTAGGATCCTCTAGTTAAATTTTCTGCACAATGGGCGCGGAAATAAGAGACAAAGAAGTCCTTGTTCTGCTGCCACGGCCATGCACTTGTCCAACCCTAAAACGCATCGGCGCTCACGAACCAGCTTCGTGAATCATGGCTCCGTGAGACAGGAAAAGGGACAGTTATCTTCCCGGAAACAGTTCAGAGTTCAGACTTCAGAGTCATAAAGTCCTCCATCCTAATCGAGGGTCCGGGAGCTTTACGGCCCCACAAGCCGCCTGTCATTTCCGGCAGTGCCTACAGCCTCCGTCTCTCACTGGTGGTGAGGTTACGAGTGCAGTTAAGTTGGAATCACTAGTGTCCGTACTTCATTTATTTTAGGTTTAGTGTATAGGATCTAGCATGGGATAGTCAACGTCAGTGCAATTATACTCCGTAGAAAAATATATACTCCATATAGGTAAGATCACCATGACCACTACCATTTCCATGCCTCTGAAGTCACGGCTCTAATCAGCTAACTGAGTTTATTATCTCCTCCAATAAGCTGAAAGCATATTTCAAAAATAGGTCCTTTTTGATTACTAGGGGGCGCCACGGGCTTAGGAATACGGAGCATATCACTTTCATCCAGTCTTACAGACTTACAGTGCAGTGAAAAAAGTGTCCAGAAAACCTCAAATGCTCTCTGGCCTCTGGGTCAATGTCCCGTCCAGTCTTTGACCCATTCCCTGAGCCAAAACCCACCCGCCATCCGGGCCCCGTGAAGTTGGCCGGCGGATTGATCAACTGTTCGCCTGCCTGAACGGGGTTTGTGTGAAACGAACCAACTAGTAGTACTGCTTTCGGTGCGATATACCGCCCATCCTACACTCCACAATGCTCCCACCCTAGTTGTATCGAGGATTCCGTAGTCCGTACTCTGTACAAGGCGGTCTCATCCTTTGACGCGAGAAGCAACCAGGTGGATCTTGCTAGCTTGATCCTGGTGCTTAGCCTGTGGAGCTTCTGTTGCGAGCATTTCTGTTCCGGATGAGGAGTCGACAACGCCATGTGTGTCATCTTCCATGCCCCCAAACTGCAGGCTGCAAAGCAAACCTGGGAGAGTAGCAGTGCGGAGATATGTACTGCTTGCATGCCAGGATAATAGTTGCCCAATCCTACGGCACGAAGAATTTTAAAGTTTTGAAGAATTTCTCATCCATGTCCGGGATATGTTGTTTCTGCATCCTCCAAATGGTTTCTGCTGTTTCGTCTCCCTGATGCCTTGCTTATTCTGACCTGCTTGTTACTTCCGGTGTCAGCTCAAGAAGTGATCGGTCTCTCTTTCAACAAGTCATACCATGGAGGCTCCAAGGAATGGAAGTCCCAGTGATGACAAGGGACCACGAATCCTTGCAGTCTTGTGGTCGTTAACCGCGCTGACCACCATCATTGTCGTGGCGCGCATGTACATTCGAGCTCGAATCATCCGTGATATCGGCGCTGATGATTACCTGATTGCCGTCTCCCTGGTGCGTGTATATGCTGTGACTGGATGTGTATATACTCCATACCCCTGGCTGACTTTGATAGTTCATGGGCCTCGTGTATTGTGCAATCACCACGGCCAATGTCCTGATCGGTTACGGGAAACATGCTTATGTTTTGAATAACGCCACTGTCGAACTGGCCAGTCTGCTCAATACGATCAGCTTCCTGTTCGGCATCCTCTCCTTTGCTATTCCGAAGATCGCAGTGGCGGCCATGTTGACTCGAATTCTTAACCCAGGGACGATGCAGCGGGTTGTTTTATGGACTCTAGTCAGTATAGCCTCGGCAGTCTCCGGCATTTGCATCATTCTCCTCTTTACGATGTGTGACCCCCCAAAGGCGCTTTGGAGAACCCACCTGATCCTGGAGGGCAAAGCGACCTGTCGGGACGTCTGGGTGCTCATCAACTATGCGATCTTTACGGGAGCCATATCCGCCTGCGCCGATCTCTACCTGGCCATCTACCCCTCGACGGTGCTAATGAAACTGAAAATGTCTCTACGCAAGCGGCTTGCCTTGTGTGCAGCTTTGGGTCTCGGAGCCGTGTAAGCTGGTCTACTGGTCTTCGTTCCAATCTTGATTCTAAGATATGCAACTGATGGTGGCGCCAGTGCCTCTGCCATGGCCATAGTCAAGTGCACACAGCTGCATGGGTTGGCTGATAAGACTGACTACACCTACGGCACAGCGGACTTGGTTATCTGGACAAAGTGAGTGAAGTTCCCGTATCACTGCTGGGTGGCAGCCAAGGAACTGACGTGGACAGTATCGAGTCCGACGTCGTGATCATAGGTTCCTGCATCCCGACTTTACAGCCCCTCCTCGAAATGATCCTCGGAAAACGCAGCTTGAATTCCTACAGCAACAGTCGCAACCGCTACAAAGGAAGCAACCCCTTCCAGGATTCCCCCTACGAGCCGAGTAAGCCCTCGCGCAACACCCGCAAGTCCGAGCTGGCCATCACCAATGTCGAGAGCCAGGAAAGCATTCTGCCGGCCGACGAGTACAACCAAAAGGACACGCATCCGATGGGACACATCCGGCGAACAGACAATGTGACGGTGGAATACGAGAGTCGCGATGGGCGTATTCCCGAAGGGCGACCTTCGTGGTGAAATACTGGTTTATCTATAGAGGACCTGGGTGGAATATATATAATATATATAATATATATAATATATATATATACATTTCATTCCTTTATCTCAAATATGTAATACATATGGAATGTTTCTGCGATCAGGATTTGGAGATCTCCTTACCTCCTAAGGATATATCGACTTCTGATCGACAGGTCTGCTCGAATCTGCCGCAATTTAGCATCCCACGCTTGCAAGACTCATCATGACAAAACATGAGTTGTCTTACCTGGAGGGTGGACCATGGTTGCGTTAACAAGGCGCAATTCCTCTCGAAGTCCCATTTTGGAGCACAGGCAAGATCGGTTTCCCGTCGGAAGAAGAGCCCGAGTGGAGCGATCGCAATGACTCATATTGAATCAGCATCCGGATATAATAACAACAAAGATTCACACAAGCCCAAACTGTGCAATCTGACGGGTTGCCAGGTCATCAATAATAGCTGCTTATTCATTATGTCGTATCCTGACCAAGCCATCTCGGTGATCATTCCCCAACACATCGAAGTTATCCAGACCCCGCGCCTTCTATTACGTCCCATGCGCATTGGCAACGACGAAGATGCCGCGGGAGTATTCAGTTTCCGAAGTCGTCAGGATGTAGTCGACTGGCTGTGAGAAACTGTCTTCCGTATAGGACGCACTTGGTCTTGGAATACTGACTTAGCCACAGATGGCCCCGAGTGACGGACGCTAATGTCGAAGCAACCAAAGCCTGGATGACTGGGAAGATCTTCAACGTCCCAGACGCATCTGGCGCCGTTGGACGCACATTCTTCTTTGTGATCATTCCCAAGGAAAATCCTCAGTGCATCGTCGGAGCGGTTGGAGTCAACTCGCTAGCGCCTGCACCCTCGGTGGGATATGCGATCCATCCCTCATTCTGGGGTAAAGGGTACGCGACAGAGGCCGTCAAGGGCGTGATTGACGCATGGTGGAAGCTACCTCGGGCAGAAGGGATGGGACAGGGTGAGAAACTGTTCGCAGCAGTGAACCACGCCAACAAAGGCAGCGTCAAGGTCCTGGAGCGAAATGGATTCCTGATATACGAGAATGTCGAATTGTTTGAGAACATGGTGGCCTTTATGCATCTCGAGAATCCAAACTTTGGAGGTCAAGAGAAGATATAGGAAGGGAGAGACTATCGCCTTACATCGGCATCGTGTTCATCACTTCGTCGTCCTGTTAGAGCAAGGCCATTGTCTTTTTGGAATCGGCTGTCTTTGCTGCCGGCAGCTACATACTCCGATCTCCAAATGATTACTTATTGATCGACTACTCGGGTCGGCCACAGAACGATCTGCCTGACGCCTTAGGAAACAAAAGGCCCGACAACGATCTGATGCAGCGAAAAGAGGCCGTGGAGTGATGATCTTTGCAGCTCATGAAGTCCGATCTCACCTCAACTCCAATAAAGCTCGCACGGGTCATCCACCATGCTTGGTGCATATTGATGACGCCTCATGGAAATGTGAGATCTGTCAGACGTATGGTCCATGCATATGATGAGGGTTGGGGTTGGGAATTGGGATGCCGGGAGAATGGGACCGGGTGTTGCTTGTCCAAAGATCAAGCGTTGTTATTATTCTTTTACTTCCCGTTTTCTCAGCTAGCTATCCCGAGTAATCGGTCTGCTCATTGTTGTGGTTGGCCTTTGCTCTTCTACTCCGTACTCTTAAGAGATCGCACCCATCTTAGTTCTCTCAGCGAGACTCAGCTCATGAACGCATACACCGCTTATTCTTCACTTCACAGACTGGCAAGCTCGTAACTGCATGGCTCAAGCCAAGCTGGCTTCGTTTTTCACTCGCTTTGATTGGTGTATCGACTGGCTTTTATACGAGGCCATCCGAAGTCCCGGCGAATCCCAGATCAACAAGCGAGACTGGCAATAAACTGCGGCTTTTCTCCCAAAAGCCATGATTGATCAAATGGACAGAGCAATGACGGGTCCCCCACATTTCCCCTCCATATTGAAAGTTTGGAGCAGCAATGACTGTTTTTTTTATAGTAACAGCATGAGCCCCGCAGATTCCTGCCAAGTCTCCTGGGTAAGACATGGCATCTGACAGCACATATCAGGCAACCCTCTGGCAGTTTGTTGGCCAAATCAACTGAGACAAGTCGAACTCTGCGATACGACTCGGCCACTCCGGCAATACTGACCGTTCCCTTGGGAAGGTAGTGTGTGAATCATAGATTCTAGCCTCGATCTCGATTACTTCCCCCAAGTTCCTTCAGCCTCCCCATGTGTGCTGTTTTACGCCACAATCCATCGCCTCTCGGTTGAAGACCCCAGATGCGCTCTCTGTTGGACGCCTCGTGCCAACTCGTCGGTGGGATGATGCCTCATGACTTTGAGTCGGACTGGGGTCCAGAATCAACGCGCAGGATTATAAATACCTGCCAGCATCTGGCCAAACTCCAGCCGATGATCTTTTCGACAAGCACCGTGCGCAGTATCCAAACCAAGCTTTTACTCTTTTCCAACCATCTGTTGCGCGATGTTCAAATCCATTGCTCTTTTCGGCCTGCTCCTTGCTGGGGCAAGTGCCGTCCCCACCCCGACTGAAGACCTCGTTCCTCGGGCCTGTTCCACCTTGGGACCCTCGACTATTGACGTCTTGCGGGTATCGACCCCCGACAACGCGTCCCCCGGCCTGCAGTTTACCCTCAGCCGCGCTGGATCTCCGGTCTACAACACACAGGTCGCCGCCCTGACGTTCGAGTACATCCCCACGGGAGCTACGGGATGCATGCTCGAGATCGACATCCCGCCGCTCGCTCAGGTCAACCAGATCGCCCAGGGCGCAACCCAGGTGGATATCTGGACGACTGACCCGTGGAACTGGAACAACCTTCCCACCTGGAACCACCCACCAACCAAGCGCTCGATGGTGGGCACGTACATCTTCCCGACGCAGCAGACGACGACAACCTCCAAGACCATTGTGATGTCCAACACTTGTGATAACATTATGAGTTTCCAGGTGGAGTTGAGCGGATGGCAGAACCAGGAAGGCAGTGTGAACTTCTTCAACACTTTGGGCGGGAAGGTGGGACTGGTGCCGATTGGGTTCCGGATGATTTACAACTGTTGATCGAGAGGATATGGCTGAGGGATCTGTGTGGTTATTAATGGATTTAGGGTATAGCTGGAATGATCTACAGCGAAAGTGGAAAATATGAACTGCTTTGGAATTTCCGTTCTGCCCAAGAGTGTTTGTTTATGTAGCAGAGGATAAGGAAAGATAAAAAAACAAAAGAACAAAAAGCAAGTGACCAGTGCCGGGCTCGATCCGGCGACCTTATCGGTGTTAACGATACGTGATAATTAGGGGGTATCGATGTGCTCTTTTGTCCCGATCCCGTGGCATTATCCCCTGTTACCCTGTTACTGTGATGTTTCCATCGTGGTATCGGCGCGCCTGCGTCCTCTGTATCCCAGTCTACTAGAGCATGCCGGCGGCTCCATCATGAGCCTACTGTGTACTACGAGGTTTGCGGGATGGAGGACATAAAGGCGGGCCTTGCAGCCTGCTCGTCGGCTTCACCCTTCGATCACAGTCTTCGCTCATAGTTAGTGCAGCGGACCTTGATCTTCTATGGCACCGTCGAAGAACAAGCCGGAAAAGGCGTTGGCCGTCGTCGACTGGAATGCCTTCCTCCAGGAGCCGCGACAACAAGGGCTCGACGCGGCGGAAAGTGGTAGCTGTGGGAAACAACTTCAAAAAGTATCGCCCCTTCGGAGCAAAAGTCTGAATAGTTACTGACCTCTACAGATGGATCACCCAGGAAGTCGACCCGCCAGACTGGAGGTTCTGGCTTCTCGAGCGGTTCAGTTTGAAACTCATCGAGGGTTTCCTTCGCTGGTACCTCAACACGCACAATGTTGAGAAGAAAGAAGGCTTTCCAGACCACGGCGAGATACTTCTCGATGTTCTGCAATCAAGAACGGGGGCAGGAGGCCCCCTATGAAATGAAGCAGAAACTGAAGCGGGTAAGGCCCTCGAATTGTCGAAGCAGAGGTCGCGTGCTGATTCTATAAGCTTGTGAGCGTCACGCTGTCGGATCAATACGAACTTGAATTGAGCGCGCAGGAGCAACCTCCGTTCAACATCGATGATCTGTTATTCACGACGTATCACCTGCTGGCTTGGTGTCCTATCACATTTCCAACCGTGCGAAGTATTTTTCAAGTGAATACCCTCCGGAAAATGATGACCTCCACCAGTGCCCGGCCGGGGACGTTGATCGAGTCGTCGGGATATATTCATGAGAACGACGCACTGAAATGGAACGACATTGAACTCTTCATGGTGAAACATCCCGAACATCCCACCTCCCAGGTTCTCCTGATGAGGGTGAGGCATAGATTGAACAAGGGTCGAAGGAATGAAGGAGTGCCGTGAGTGAAACTTCCGACCTCGCTGGCGATATATATTCTAAGGTCGTTCCAGGCCAGTCTACACGGACACGGAAAGGAACGACAATTTGGGACTTTGCGTCATCCAGGACAGACTCATGTATGCCTTTCTCGACGACGCCTTCGACAGCGAACACACCAAATGTCCCACCGATATCTGGCGCCTCACGAAAGTCCCGGAACACCGTCTCAGCACGCCGATCAATTTCAAGGAGCGCGTCAAGGAACTTCCGATCCTACGAGGCACGTGCCAGGATGCATCGGGTCTTATTATCACCGATCCCCAGCGTGCCCTGCAGTATCATCAAGCGCGACAGTGGGAGGCGGCGGCAAGCGAATCGGCCAGGTTCAAAGACAAAGGAACTCTCTACAAGTACCGCAAAGGGGCAGCGGCGAATATAAGTCCGAGCGCATGTACCGCCACAGGATAGGCTTTTTTTTGCTAATCTGTTCTCACAGGACATCTCGACGAGCATTCACGGAATCGCATCATGGAGCATATCCAAGGGGGAACGTTCGCCAATTACATCTCGATCATGGATGACACCCAATCTATCTTTATGGAGACGCCGTCCCGAAAGTCCTTGCTCAGCCTCGTCACTCACGCGAGCATCACACGGGACCCTTCAGCACCACAACAGGCCACGCCGGCGCAGAAAGCAACGGTGGAATTGGATGCCAAACTTATTGAATGGAAAAAAGAATGCCAGCGACTGCGGGCGGATCTCATCATGGAGTATGGCCAGTTACAGGCTGCACATAAGTCTGGTGACAAGTGTTCCAGTGAATTGCAAAAGCTTCAGAACAAAGTCAAGTCTTGGCGAAAGAAACTCTGTGATTCAGCAAAGAGTGACGCGGGCTTATAGTTGGCCAAGGTTAGTATAAGGATCTATAATCCATGAGAATTAGAAACTAGTGTGAAAGAAGAATGGTTATAAATAGATTTAAATATAGATGTCCTTATTTAAAGAGATTATTACTAAACTTCAGAGTTTAGTAGTTATAGACAGGGTTTATATCTTTATAGGTTATATAACTATTTATATAATCTCTTATAAGGAGCCTTTATATTAGTAGGTTCCTCTATAAAGATAGCTTTAATATAATATATAATAAATCTTTATAATCTTTATAATTATCCCCCCCCCCCTTAAAAGATCTTAGCCCCTAAGATCTATCTAAGATTCCTTATTTATAATAGGATATACTAGTAAAAACCTTTATTTATAAAGAGAAAATTATAAATAATAAAAAAGGTTTACTATTCTTTTCTTTTATATACTTATATTTATTTATCTTCTTATAAAGGCTTAGTTATAGATAGACCTCTTTAACTATAATATTTTTATTACTATCAAAATCTTCTCATAATATATTTTAGATTTATATTACTTATTTTTATAATACTCCTATAAATCTCTTAATAGTCTTATTATATAAAATTTCTATAGAGTAAGATTTAGAGTAATAATAATTTTTATAGAGTGTGATATCAGTGAATGAATATCATGAGTAGATTAATAATTATTAAGGTTGACCCTGGGTTACTAAGGTCAACCTAAGAAATCTCTATAATATCTATAACTTATCTTTTAGATAGATAGCCAGTAGCTAGATATAAATATAAGATCTTACCCTAGGTAAGTAAAGAGGGGGGCCTAGCCTATCTCTCTTTACCTCTAGTAATACTATCTTATCTATAGTAATTCTATCTAGTAGCATATTTAAAGTTATAGATAATAGAAAATTAAATACTCTTACTCTACTAGATCTATATTTATCTTAGTAAATACCTACTGCTCTTCCCTATAAGTAACTACTAAATTTAAGCTAAAAGATAATAGGGTAGTTATATTTAGTAAAGAGTTTTTATTATAGGAGAACTCTCTACTAAGCCCTACTAAAAGAGATAGAAATAAAATAAGATATAATAACTCTAGGCTAGAGAAGTATTACTTAGTTATTAAAATAAGTTCTAATAGAAAATAATCTCTATAAGATAATATTCTTAAACCTCCCTACTAGAACTACTAATAATAACTAGCTATCTATAATAAATAATCCTACTAGAAATCTACTAGAGGATATAAGATAAGCTTTCATTAAGCTATTTAAGATAATAATCTAAGGAGTACTACTTACTAATATTAATATATTTTTTTAGAGTATTTATTAAGAGTAATATAATAAATAAATATTACTTCTAGGATTATAAGAGATAAATTATTATTATAGATTATTATTTATTTTTAAGATTTTAAATCTTACTCCTATCCTAGAGTATAAAGATATATATATAAGAGATACTACCTAAAAATAGTAAAAGAGAGTTAAGAAATATTTTAAGAATATCTTACTAGTAATAGAAAGAGTTCCCTCTAATCTAGAATATTTATTATTATTAAATAGAAACTTATAAGATATACTTATAAGAGATAGGAAGTAGATAAAACCTAATTATAGATTAATTTTATATTAGTAATTACTAATATAGAAATCTTCTATATATAGCTACTAAAGAACTTTAAGAAATATAATATAAATAATAAAAAATAAAAAAATATAAAAGCCTTACCTAAGGTTTATAACCTATATAGCTATATATTACTATCTTAGATAAAGCTATAATATATATCTCTTCTTTAGTATATAAAGCTTCCCTTATTTAAAAATTTATTATTAGGAGTTAACCAGAGCTTAGGAAAAGATAGGTAAAGAACTAAATATAACTATAAATATATAATAAAATAGTTAAATACTTCTCTCTTTATAAGAATAACTTAGTTACTACTTAATAACTTAGAGGTAACCTATAATTAAAACTATAATTTAATTAGTATAATAAAGATCTAATAGATCTAAGTATAATTACTAGCTCTTCTTAGCTAAGAAGAAACTTCTTATAATTAAATAAGGATTTACTAAAGTAGAAACTATAGTATTATTAGAATAAAGTATATTTTATATATAATAAAATTAGATATCTCTAATTATACTCTATAAAAATAATAAAAAATAAGAAAGATTAATAAATCTAAAGATACTTATTAATTAAATAGAGAAAGCCTTTAACTACTAGAATATATAGTATAATCTCTTTAAAGATAGGAAGGAAGAACTACCTAAAAGGAGGAATCTTTAATTATTATAAGGAATTACTAAAGTATATCTAAATATAATAGGTATTAACTCTATATATTATATAATAGAAATATAAAGTAAGGGATAGGTAATTTAGATTAAGGCTCTTATTAATTATAGAGCTAGTTACTTATTTATATTATAAATAATTATTAGTTATCTTAGTATAATAGAGCCTCCCTATAATAAAAGGAAAATATCCTTAATTATATAATTACTAAATAGAGTTATAATAAATATCTACTAATAAGTAAGGATACTAATATAAATTAGGTAATAGACTAGTCTTACTAAGTTATAGATCTTAGATACTAATAAGTATAAGATAATCTTAGGTTATAACTAGCTAAAAGTTACTAACCTATAGATTAACTAGTAATTAAATTAGATAATTCTTTAAAATAAGAGAAGAATATATTTTACTTACCTTATTAACCCCTAATATAAGATTAAATATTATAAAGATAACTTAGTATAGTAAGTAACTATAAAATAACTAAAGTAGATCTTATAAAAAAAGAAGTTAATAATATAATTATATCTTCTTTAAACTAGTAAAAAGAAATTAATAACTATAAATTATAATAAATAGATAAAAGACTTTAAGAATATATTCTAAGAAGAACTTAACTTAGGAATACTACTTACCTAAGGAGTAGATTATATTATTAATACTAATAATACTAAACTAATTAATATAAATACTTATCCTTAATTATTAGAGAAGTTTAAGAAAACCTACTACTAAGTAAAAAAACTATTATAAAAGAGAGTAATCTAGGCTTTAGTAAGCTAGTAGGGTTTATTAATAGTATTAGTTCTAAAGCTAGAAGAAAAATAATAAATATATATACATTACTAAATACTTAATAAAGTTACTATTAAGAATATCTACTTACTCCCTAGAATTTAGGAGTTAATTAACTAAGTTAGTTAAGTAAAGATCTTATTAAAAATTAATCTTCTCTTAGGATATTAGTAATTATAGATAGTAGATAACTTAATTACTAAGATAGTATTTAATACCTTCTTTAGGAAATATAAGTTCTTTATAATACTATTTAGACTCTATAATATATCTATAATATTCTAGATATATATAAATAATTAACTATAAGATCTCCTATATATAGTAGTATATCTTAATAATATCTTAATATTCTTAGTAAGTAAAGAGAAATATAAATAATATATATAAGAAGTCCTTACCTAACTATAGAGGAATTAGCTATTTATAAAAGCCTTAAAGTATAAATTTAGTTAATAAGAAATTAAATTCTATAGATATATTATTAGAGGAGGAATTATAAAGCTAATACTAGCTAAGATAGAAGCTATTATCTAATACCTAAAACTAAAAAAATATCTATAAAGTATAATAATTTCTTAGACTTATAATATATTATTACTAGTTTATACTAGGATTTATATAGGTTATAGCCACTCTTTATAATCTATTAAAGAAGTTAGATAAAGACCTTTAGAAGAAGAAATTCTATCTAATTACTTAGATAGTAAGATACTAAGATATCTTTACTAACTTAAAAGAACTAATAGTTATTATACTAGTGCTAATAATTATAAACCTTAATTAATCTTATTAAATTAAGACTAATATCTTAGAATAGATAGTAAGAATAATTTTAATATAAAAAGATAAGAATTATAAACTTTACCTAATTATATTTAATAAAAGAAAGCTTAATAGTATAAAAAGGAACTACTTAATATAAGAGAAGAAGCTACTTATAATAAAAGAAGTCCTTTAGAGATAGGATTACTATATTAATAATAGAAAGATAATAATAGTAGTAACTAATTATAAGAGTCTTTAATATCTTATAAATATAACTAAGTATTTAAAGTAGCTTACCTAGTAGGTAAAAGAATTCTAAAGTTATAACTTAGAAATCTACTATTAAAAGATAGTAAAGTAATAGTACTAGATATAATTAGTTAATATCTTAACTTTATAGAAGAAGAGCTAGGTAATATTACTAAAAGAACTTTACTTAATATACTAGAAGTATAGGAGATAGTAGAGATAAGATATTTTAAAAGCCTAAATAATTTTATAGAGTATAAATAGTATAATACTATAGTAGAATACCTAGAGCTATAGGTCTTACTATAGGATAAAAGAAAGTAAGAGCTTATACTAATAATAGCCTTATCTTTTAAACTAAAAAAAGAGGTACTATATCTCTTACTAAATTAAATTATAGATAGATAATACCTAGGAGGATAATTTATATATTACTAGAAATTAATCTATATTATAGATATTAGAGATGCCCTATACCTAAAGATTCTATTCTAAAGGGACTTCCTATAAGAAATATATAGAGAATATAACTATATAGGCTACCTAGTATTACTAAGAGTTATTAAAACTTAAGTCTAGTAGCCTTCTCTATAGTATAATATCTAAGCTATAGTTAAGGAATACCTAAATTATTAAATATTATAAGGATTAAAGAAATATCTTAAATAAGAATAGTAATATTATATAGTAAAGAAAGGTATCTAGCCTTTTAAATACTAGGGTATTAACCTTATTAGATGCCTGCTAGTAATACTAAATAGTAATAAATAGATTATTACTACTATTAACTATATAATAGGATGAGTTATTATAAAAGCCATTCTATATACTATAGATAAAATAATAGTAAAGTTCCTATATAAAGAGATATTTACTTAGTATAGTGCCTTTAATAAGATA